AAGAAACTAATGAAAAGAAGAGACAATGCCAAAGTAAGACACAAAGAAAACAAGCACAAGACAACTGAATGATAGTCTGGAACATCGAAGAAAGGTTGGATATTTGTCTCTCTTCTATAGTAACTTTCACGGGAAGTGTTCAAGTGACTTGGCACATTTGATCCCATCAAGAGCGGTACATATCAGGAATACGCAACGGACTGTGGCTGCTCATCGTTTTGAGGTTCAACTCAGTACACCTCGAACTTCACATTGGGTATAGATTTCTGAACTATTTCGTCCAATTCCGTTCCGTGGAAGAATTTATTTATTCTGCCTCCTCGACTATTGACCTTCCTCAACTAAACCAAAAGTGCGTCCCCGGATTACGGAACAACGTAGGAACAGAAATTTTCATTAACTTTCCGGAAAAAGCGGACGAAAACTTTCTCTGGATGGCGGTTAGCAATTCTGGCTTAGGATATCTGGAGAGAACGGATGACTCTGGAAATTGATTAGGCAATTACTAAATTAGTTGGGTAATTAATTCCGTACCGGGGAGCTCTTTTCCTGTCAAGAACTGGCAGGAAAGGGAATACACAAAAAAGAGGTTTATGGAAACGTAGTTGTAGTTTTTTTAATGAAGCACTTGAAATAATCAATTTTTTTCAGGGACAAACAAGGACACAGGAACACTACAAGAAATATATTATTATAATTACTAAAAGGCGTGGCTTGTTTTCTCTTAATCGGATTTCCTGACCTTGTTTGTGCACCTTTTGAATCTCTATTGCCTTAGAAGGGGAGAAAATAGGGAATGAAGAAGTCCACAAGAAGCCCCGAGTCTGGCTGAGATACGTGGACGACACCTTCATAATATGGAACCATGGGAATGCAGAACTAAACACCTTCCTGAAGCACATTAACAACGTAAGTTTCACAATGAAGAAGGCCTCGAAAAGAACTAGGCATCATCAAAAATGACCTTCAACAAAATGGTTACTCCAAAGTGATGGTAGAACAGGCTTTAGCTAGAAGACGGCAAGAGCTCCACAAAGAAGAGAAGCCACCACAACCAGTACTTGTACTTCTCTACATCAGAGGATTGTAGGAAAAGATGAGAAGGATTGGTTCCAAGTATAACATTAGAACCTGCTTCAGATCTGGGAACACTATCCGTAGCAGCCGCATAAAAACCAGGCCACCAAAGGCGGACTGCAATTCCAAGATTTGCATTTACCGGATACCCTGCGAGTGCGGAGAATTATACATCGGTGAAACTAAGAGGACATTGAAAGTTCGCATTGCCGAGCATAAGAAACACACACAACGAGGAGAAACCGGCTAATCAGGAATAGCAGGACTCATCAACATAACATCAAGTGGGCTCAAGCTGAAATCATACACAAGGAAGAACACTGGTTTAGGAGAAAATTCAAAGAAACCGCATATATGTTGTCCAACAAGGCATTACACCAAACTAGCGTAGAGATACGCAACATATGGAAACCACAAATCAAGCGGAACACGACCAAATCCCGCCAAACGGTCAGCTTCCGCTAAAACCGATGAAACGGAGAGAGGGAATAGGTGACTCGAATGACCTATAAATAGTCAGATCTCGGAGGAATAAGTCCAATTATCACCCGTAGACGATTGTGGATACCAACAATCGAAACGTCGTGAATTAACTTGGTTTGCAATCTCTTTCATTTCTTGTTATTAATTTTTTAATTTTCATCTCGAGTTGATAGTTTGATTTTTTGGTTGTTGCTTGTATTTTATTTCATTGTAATTTCAGTTTTTTTTTTACTTAATATAATTGTTTTCAGCTTATCTTTTTTAATTTTCTACAGATAAATTTTCTACGGATAAAAGTCCGAACTGATGAAATTAAAAAAAATTTGTTTTTCCGTTAATTAGCTGTCGCCCTCATACGAACGACAACTCTCAGAAGTTGAGAAACTTGTGCGAGCTAAGGACTAACGAGGTCTGACCTATTAATGTGTGATTCCTAACACGTACTCATTAAATACTTTAAATACCTACACCGTTTAATGTTTTAGTACTTTTTCACAATATTGTTTATCAGATCAGTCTAACTAGCCGTAGCCGTATCAAAAATTGTAGCCGTTTAATATGCTTGAAATTTGTATTAATTTTCGACATAAAATCATGTCCATATATTCAGTTTTACAAGACGAAACTTATTGCTTAGACATTTTCATGTCAATCGTCACATTTTCCTTGTTGTCCATCTCTTGTCACTTGTTATTATTGTTGAAATTTGATTCAAAATCAATAAAAAACTGTGACTATCAAAGGAAAAGGTGGACATATTCTAATTATATCAAGGTTCTTGGTTTTGCCTTTTTAGTACTTTTTTTTCGATCTAGTACTTTTTTTCTTAACCTATTTTCAAAGTAGTACTATTTTCAAAGGTTTGTGGCAACACTGCTTGTGATAATTTTTAACCCTTATGTTTGGCAAGCTGTACCAATATAAACTTCAACAGGAAAGCCAACTACACACTATTATGAAGATGAAATGCTAGAAATTCGCAAACCTAAAATGACGAGCAGGAAAAGGAACAAATATATTTCTTTGGAAATATGTACTGAAACACTGATTACGTGAGTGGTACATTTATGTCTACAAAGCTGGGAGTATCCAGAATTGATCTGCGATAACTAAAAAACGTGGCTGAACAGAATCGAGCTGAGGATTCAGCTATTCTTTTTCTCTTTTCAGAAAACGAAACATCCTCAAAGAGACGCGAACGTGGTGTTTCAATAGTTCATCTAACACACGTACATTCAAAAGTGGGCGACATAGGATCGCAACGCCCACCTACTACGTAATCCTTGACACGCTGTCAACAAGAGGTTTGAAAAGAGTTTAATTTCGACCCCGCGCGCGATTCGCAATACTCGTTGGAGATTAGATTCTGGCTCTGTGTCGGAATGGCGCTGTTTAGGAAAATGGAATTTCGGAATTACGTCGTTGGTCGTATTGCTTTAATTTTGTGTACTCCTGCATGTCAAGTACCTGTCCGAAAAAAGAAGAAGAAGAAAATAGCATGGTTTGTATGGCCTACCAGGCATCACGGAACATTTGAGAGGGTAGTAGACACATATTTGACAGGTTACTATAACAATGTGCTGAAAAGACAGCAGGTTGATCAAAAAAGTTCCGAAGGTCGGGAAATTGGTAATTATTCAAGTGTGAAATATTCTTAAGATCAAAGTAACTGTTATATGAATGATTTTTATATCGAAAAAATGTACTGAACTTTTTTCTATTCCATGACGTATCAAACAATAATAAATTTCTTTTTCAAAAATACGACCATTATTTTTGTCGTGCCTAAAGGGTGAGAGTGATTTTTAGGAGGTATAGGATTTGATTCAAAAAAAAAGCAAACAATTTGAAAAAATTTATGAAATCATTATTGGAATCGATAAAACGATCAATATAATTTAATGTTTGAAGATGATTTCATGCAAATGTTATCCGCGGCTTCGCTTTAGATGGCCCATGCGCAAGGTCCAATTTTGGTACANAGGTGTATATGACATGTTCCAGGTTCAAGTGAAAAACACCTTACCCCTTGCCTCTTATGTAGACCTACGACTTTGTAGATACGTGTGAACATCAACACTAGGTTGTGAACATCTACGCATAGTCATAGCTTAGACATCAAAAAACAAAATGTTAAACAATAATAAATATAGCACAAACAAATCATTCACAAAGAGTTTAACAATATCGTGAATCTGCGACAAGAATTATATCTTCAATAACAAAATCAACAACTGACATGCCCTTTTTATATGTTATAATTATATACAACTATAATTGTATAAATACTCTTCTACACTGTTTAAACATCTAGATTCAAAATATTGTTTCATTCTGATTTGGAATTGATTAAAATTTCATAGACCACTCGTCAATGAATATGATTAACCCACATTTCTAAAAAGTAAGTACTTATTTAATGGATTTTAAAACGTTCAGAGTTCTACCCTTGAGAGCCACTTGGAATCGCAGATTTTCTCTTCTCTTCGAATCCAGATTCTCGCAATTTGTGGTATTAGTCCGACCAACTTCAAGACTTGTGTCTGTACAAGTTCCCTGGAGATGTTCTACTTGCAAATCCGGAACGATGGGCTTGAAAACACATGTCGTATAAACCCTTAAAAAAGGGAACCCGGAAAGTGGAATCGAGAAAGATCGTAAAAAAAGACGTGAAAACTCAACTTCACAAGTGATGCAAAGCTATTCGGAGCGTCGTAACTTTGACCCTTCGAATGAGAAAGAAGGGTGGGTAAATACTCGCCAAAAATAAAGTAGTTAAAAACCTTCTTTACATTCACTGTAGGAATCCACTTCCACAAGTGTCATTTTTATGAAAGGAGACCATCTAGTATGTAGCTTCGTTTCATGTTGTCGATGTGCAATAAGAAAGGGTTTTCGAATGTTCCAATTGGGGCTTCCCCCTTGGGGATGGAAGGGGAGCGTATTTTAGTAGGCTGAACTTTCGTATGAAGGTTCTTTTCATGTTGTAGATGTGCAATCTGTTTTTTTTCCGTTATCGCACCCCTACGAACTCGGCGCCCAACTCGAGCGCCAGTCGCAGGGGAAAATGGCACGTCCATAAAACGAAATCATCTTTTCATCACTGTTTTTCCATACCCTCAACATTCCGGTGGGTGAATTTATATTTAGTATCAGCATTACACCCGTGCGGAGCCAGGGCCGTTCGCCAGTACGTTATAATGTATTCTCATCAAGTATCGGTCACTTCTACTGTACTATCATTATTATTACTTCCTCTTGGTCACAGTATCACGAAACAAGTGAAATTTCCGATCGCCCTGTTCGCTAAATCAATGGTGCCATCAGCTACCAGCATGAAGAGCTGTGATAAACTGGCATCCGAAATTCTCACCTACTTTCAATGAATAGTCGCGATGCGGTCGTCGAAAGTGGAACTAATTCTTCGTTTCCTTCCACAGTGGCTCATGGTCGTATCCCTGGCGGTGCTGTACAACGTCATTTTCGTCTTGGGAAGAGCGGTATTTTGGGAGTTGAACAACAAGGAAAGGATCACGCCGCTGTGGTGGACCCTGGATTACCTCTGCGATCTCATCTACATCTTGGATGCCTTGGTCCATGCTCACGAAGGTGAGTACAAATATTCTTTAAAAGTGTTATTTTTATTGATACGTGGTGCCCTGATGCCCTCTAGGTTATGACGAGTGATTCTAATAGAACCAATGTTGACAACTGTATAAATCAATTTTTACCCAACACTATCAAATCGTTGGTTTGCGAACCAAGATGGCGTCTTCAGGACATAATGAAAACTAGTTTCTTAGCTTGATGAAGAGTCTTTATTCATATTTACCGGGTTAAACTTTCGCTTAATTATACACCTCAATGATTTCGGGTAGAAATTTCAGGAGAATTTTCTCGTTAGAGTTCCTGCTGATTCTAACAGAGCGATTCATTAAAAATGAGTTTTGAATGACACTAGAATTTTCTGGCTATTCCCCACGACGTGTTGAACGACAGTGGATTTTTCTGGTCGTTTCACAAGGCGTGTTATTGAATGACATTAGATTTTTCTGGCTATACCCCGAGGCGTGTTGAACGACACCATATTTTTCTGGTCGTTTTCCAAGGCGTGTTATTGGATGACCTTAGATTTTTCTGGCTATTCCCCAAGGCGTGTTGAGCGACATTTGATTTTTCTGGTCGTTTCCCAAAGCGTTTTGAATGACACTAGAATTTTCTGGCTATTCCCCACGACGTGTTGAACGACAGTAGATTTTTCTGGTCGTTTTACAAGGCGTGTTATTGAATGACATTAGATTTTTCTGGCTATACCCCGAGGCGTGTTGAACGACGTTTGATTTTTCTGGTCGTTTCCCAAAGCGTTTTGAATGACACTAAAATTTTCTGGCTATTCCCCACGACGTGTTTAACGACAGTAGATTTTTCTGGTCGTTTTCCAAGGCGTGTTATTGAATGACCTTAGATTTTTCTGGCTATTCCCCAATGCGTGTTGAGCGACATTTGATTTTTCTGGTCGTTTCCCAAAGCGTTTTGAATAACACTAGAATTTTGTGGCTGTTCCCCAAGACGTGTTGAACGACACTAGATTTTTCTGGTCGTTTTCCAAGGCGTGTTATTGAATGACATTAGAATTTTCTGTCTATTCCCCGAGGCGTGTTGGTCGACATTTGATTTTTCTGGTCGTGTTCCAAGGCGTGTTAAGCGACACTAGATTTTCCTGCCAGGCGTTCCCCAAGGCTTGTTGAGCGATACAATATTTTTCTGGATGTTCCCCAAGGCGTGGTGACACTATATTTTTATGGGCCTTCCTCAAGGCTTATTGAGTGATACAATATTTTTCTGGGCGTTCCTCAAGGCGTGTTAAATGACACTATATTTTTCTGGGCGTTCCCCAAGGATTGTTGAGCGACACAATATTTTTCTGGACGTTCCCCAAGGCGTGTTAAATGACACTATATTTTTATGGGCGTTCCACAAGGCTTATTGAGTGACACAATATTTTTCTGAACGTTTCTCAAGGCGTGTTAAATGACACTATATTTTGTGGGCGTTACCCAAGGCGTGTACTGCGTGTTTGTCGAAACGAGTTTCAATAGCTTGCTTTGTCTGACCAATATATTTTTAGGTGAGCAACAAGTTTTGAAGGCTACTCTCAGGTTCAACTCTTCAGTAATTACAAGTAATCAGGCTCTAGAATTTGATTTCTACAGAAAGATTACCAGTACTTTCTTGCCCCTGGGCTTTCTAGGTTATTAGGGTACGATATTGAGAAAAATGTTATCAGAGAAATAGTCGAGAGCAACAGATGTTCTTTAAATATTGTAGATTAGGAGGAGGAGTTATTTTGCAAGCTATTGAAAAGGTTATTCCATTTTAGAGAATCACAAAACTGAGACATACTATAATGAGAAATGTGTGTATATTGTGTTGTAGTTAGAATGCCACAAAAAAAATGTTGAAGTATGATGATACGAAAGAATGAATTTTAGGTTTACAGACTGTATAAGCCTCTGGGCTTCGACAATTAATTGGTCTATCCCACCCTTCATTTGCTCTAAATAAACATCGATAAACCGACTTTTCCACCGTCTCGCACTATGTAAACTTAAAAAAAAACAACCTCTTCATCACGATCGACTTCTCATGTGCATCTCTGCAATGAACGCCCAAGGGAATGTTTTTCAGATCTGCGTGATGCGGCGGAAGACACCCTGTGGACGGATAATTGTTCCAGTATCGGGAACCCCAGTCGGGAATTAATTAGGCCTCCTCTAATGACAATCACTGGGGGGAGGCGATGTGAATTTGTTGTTGCGGATGCCGGGACCGTTTTCGATTACTTTATCAATATCCTGTTCGAGAGTAGTGACGTTTGACGTATTGCCGATCGGGATTGGAAGATTTCGAAGTGTTTTGAACCAGGGAGGAAATTCAATTCGAGATTATCGATGAGTGACCTGTCCGATAGCGTCCCGGATAAACTCAGTAGTTAATTAGTGGTCTCAGCCCTTTGGGGCGTCCTTTGGAGAGGTTGGAAGTAGTGAAAAGTAGAAAAGGCCCTTGAAATATCCAGATTTGACACTTTTTGATCCAGATGGGGTGATACGACATACAGCATCACTACATATCATACAATACAACAGAAAGATGTCTGGATGTTTTCAACTCATTTATATGTATTTAGGTGAAAACTAAAAAAATACTCAAAAAATTCCAGAACGTCAGGTTAGTTTGCGAAACGCAAATTGGTATTATAAAAAGGGGTTTTTTGGGCTACTTGAAGTCATAAATAGATAGATACATTTTAATTTTTATAACTGTTTTTGAATGCATACAGGCCAAAACCTATCATTACTATCACAATAAAAATAAGCCCTTGCCCCGTGGATTGGGCTACCTATCGGGCGCGTCCCCAGGTGGCGGATGAGGGAACGGCCTGGGGACTGGAGGCCCTGTCCGGGAAGCCAATGTAGCCTTACTGACGGGGTCGCCGGACTCCTGGTCAGTGGCAGAAATAAGTAGGGTGAGGGAACTGAAACTCCCTAAAATCCTTTGCAAAACATACCACCCTGGACCAGCCTATCCAAGCTAAGGAACCGTGCCGACAGCTGAGTGGCTGCAGGAGCCCTTGGCGCGGCGGGTGCCAAGGGCTCCGCCTTGAATAAAGGCAAGTAACCGGCAGGAAAGCTCCCTCATTTGTGCACCTCCACGGAGGGCACCCCAAGAAGGTTGAAGAAGCCGCGCAACGACAGTAATGTCGCTGCACCTTCCAAAACCTTCGCGGAGGCCACCGTGAGACCCCTCAAGGTTGGCAAAGAGAGTGTGTGTTCGGCGAGTCTTGGCTTACACCTGACAATATAAAGGAGATGTCCCCTAGTGACCTGTCCACCTTCCTGGAAAGTACAGGATGGACGATGACCTAGGAGGACAACTCCTTGGGAGGATGTACAATGGGTCGCATGTGGCCTAAGTTCTGTGGGTCGATACTCACCCTCCCTACTCTATATAACGCCCTACTTTGTCCGAGAGGACGAGTTGGTTCATTGAACCAATATTGAAGGTTCCATGGATACATTTAATATCGCATATGACCCAGCACAATGTCGTATTTTCATAGGTGCTTCAAAAAGAAGTTTCAAAGCAGTTCTGCTTCACAATGGCGAGTATACAAAGTTCCATCGTCTTGACTCTTTGAGTAGAGCCAAGAAGATGATAGCACAGTCAGCTATCGAAAGCGCTCGCATATAATAAAGAGAAGTTATAAAGCTTCAAATCCTGTTTGTGACATATGTGAAATTAATTTTAAGGCAATCAAGACGCAGATACCTAGCAGTGATATCTATGGTATAAATAAGGACAACATTGTATGTAGATTTACTTTCATCTTCGCGATTGAAACACGTGTTGAGGTATTAAAAATAACGATTTGGTGTTGGGATAGAACTTTAGTAGTATTCATTGAAATTAATGTTTCGACAAACATCAACTCCGACTCATAAAACACGAAAATATCGATTCTTGCCTATATTAATGACCCCTTCTCACTTGGAACTTCCATAAAAATGTCCCTAGGGAAGGGAGCGGCCGTTTCACATCTATTATCGAGTAAAGTTTACGCAAGAAAACAATTTGCAAAATTATGAATCATAATAATTCTCCCGCATAAATTAGCCCCGATGTTGATACTGTCCTGCAAATATTTGCCGTTTTTGTTTTGCCTTCTTGTTTGCCAACCATATCGCAATTTACATAATTCAATTTCCCTCGTCAGACACTCTTTCTTGACATTCACTAATCCATATATCAGAAGGTTGGGCCGGTATTGCGTTGTCTGGAAAATAGATGCAGGAGGGTAACAGGTTGTTGCTCTCCCTCCCTCTTATGAAAATTTCCAGCAAAAAACCTACGTAGATGATCAAAATATTCATGACATTTCCACTGATACGTTTTTGGGTTCACGAACGAGTGATAACCTCGCCGGGGTATCTTCTAAACCGACATAGCTGACATTTGTACTGTTATACTTCACTATACCAGCAGGTGTTAACAATAATTATTAGGTGGGCTTAGGCTAGGGGGGGGCATGATGGGGCCTCTGCCCCGAGCGGCAAGTTCAGAGGGCGTTCAAATTCATACTTTACAGACGAATCAACAACTCATCGTTTCTCCATACGTGCAATAAAGGAAGGATGATGGATTTGCTGGAAGCGTTGGAAATAAAAACCCCAATTTCAAAACCCTCAATGATCAACGAGAACTACGCAGCTCTCTCCTTTTGAATTTGTGTTGATTTAGATATTGGACAATGTCGTGGCAAATCTTATGATAATGGGTCCAATATGGTCGGGATCTACAAGGGAGTATAGTCGGCCAAAAAACCAGAACATAAAAATGAACCGGCTGCGAAACAGTCCACGTGTACTGTAGAATTGGCGGTTCGTATTGGTTAAATTTTACTAACCGAGTCTTATGATTGGCTGAAGGGTCATGAAATTAAATTTGAAGTCATGTTACGGTGACGAATAGAAATCGGGAATGCGGAAACGGTTATCGCCGTCGTGTTCAGTTCAGGAACTGAACACGACGGCGACTAAAAGCAATGAGATTCCTACAACTGAAATAAAAAGGAAGAAATTGAATACTTACGGTCATAACGTGAGCTGATGTGACAAAACTCTTCAGAATTGGATGAAGAAACTAGGATTTATATTTAAAATAATTAACAAACATCAAGCAGTTATGGAAAGCAGAAGAATAGTGGAATTGCGTGACAAATACTTAGAACAAATAACTAAATATAGACAAGAACAACGGCAAATTTACTATTTGGACGAAACTTGGTATGACACTCACGACCCAGTTACGAAAGGGTGGACGATGGTTCGAGAATGTGTACGCCTAACATGCCTGCAAACAAAGGATTGCGACTAATCATTGTGCATTGCGGAGGAATAAAGGAAGGGTTCCGAATTGAAATTATGTGGAAAAAAATTTGACAATGTTGACTATCATAAGAACATGAAAGCTAATATTTTCGAGGAATGGATTGAAAAGACATTGATCTCAAATTTGGATGCGAATAGTGTAATAGTTCTTGACAACGCTTCCTATCATTCGCGACAGTTCATCAAAGTACCGAATAAAAATTCGAGGAAAGATGAAATATAAAGTTTTTTAATGGATAACAATTTGTATTTTGAAGATTACTATACCAAAAACCAACTACTTGAAGTTTTACAGACGAAAACAGTATGGACACACCATACTGCCCTATTTTTGTGTTTTCAATCCCATCGAGATGATTTAGGAAATTGAAACAAAGCATCAGACGTAAAAATAATTTTTCAAAATTTGATAAGAAGGTAATAGAGCTAATTAAAGAAGAAGTATCTAATATTACCGAAGAAGACTGGCAGAAAAGGATTAAAAAAGTAATTTTAGTTGAAAAAGAATATATGGAGATTGGAATGGTGGAAATAAACTCATTATTGAACCGAATGACAACAGCGATAGTGAAACAGAAAATATGGAGGAGGAATCATCAGAAGCATGAAACGTTTTCCCAAGTGGATTGAAATTCAATGTGAATCGCTACTTTCGCACAGGTACCGCTCTTAAAGCGCCTAAAGAAATTTCCTGTAGTGCTTTTATTCTGTCCTTGAAAAGGTAGATTGAAATAGATCATAAAATAATTGTAACATAAGAGTAAATTATTGTACAGCGAAACACGCGTGGAATTTTCGTAAAACCTGTTATAGTAGACCATAAACTATCCACTGATTCATATATTGCCGCACTATCTTCTTGCATCAGTCTTTACGTGATCAATTAATATTCAAGACATGAAAAAGATTATTAAATATGGTTCAGGATTCCATAATGACTAACACGCGATGAACAAAATAGTTGACAACTCCATTTTAGAAGTTAGTCCAAACTAATGCCAACGCACATTTAATTTCAACTTTTACGCATCTGAATTCTTAAACAGCAGAGGCATTATACTGAAAAACAGCTCGTGGAAAATTAGTTTTTTAAATATAATTTTGAGAAAGGTATTCAATTTGCTGCACCTTCTTTTTGAGTTGGGATCCTCTAATTTTAAAACAGAAAAACGAGGTCTGTCAACAAAATAAGGTGAATTTCTAATTTGTCTCCTTTGAAGTATTCTCCCTTAGATATAATACACTTGTGCCATCCATTTAAGATGCTGACTTCGACAAAGTTTTTCATTAATTGATAACTAATCGCGTGCGGTTGCACAGCCGTGGTGCAATCCAAACTGTATTGGATGATTCACAGCTCCGTTGGCATCGCAAACTATATCTACGCTCGATGGATAAACAATAATAATGGCCTAAAACTGTGTAGGCAGTGAGAGAAAGCTTGTTGTATGAGAGAGACAGGAGACCGGCTTCGTTCCCATCCTCACTCCGTGCTGTTTACTATTTCATAGAACCGTTTCCGAGGAGTATGGCAACTAACACTGTGACACTTAACTAACTTACACCTCCCTTTCAATTTCCATTCACCTCGACTGTGGTTCTTGCACAAAATTTTATATTGGCCAAACGGGGAGAACCGCTATCAAAAGAGGTAGAGAACATAAGAGTAGTTTCTTGAATTGAAGGCCAATTCCACAATTGCAAACCATTTGGCAGAGGGAAATGAGGTCAACGACCATGACACGAACTTTTGGAGTGCTCAAAAATTGATAGACTCAAGAATTCTGAAAATTTTAGACTCTGGGTGTTCACGGGTTACAGTTTTTTAAGTCATTTTACTTTTACCATCATTTTTTCCCTTCTCAAACTCTCTACAAGTGATTTTCCAGTACCGCTAGATGTAAAAACATAAACTGTTGAGTAAACACTGCAGGGTGGTACTTGCCCGATCCGTAACATTATTTCTTAACAATTTCCTCTGTTGCAGGCTATCTGGAGCAAGGCCTCCTGGTGACGGACCCGCACAAGCTCCGCGGCCACTACTTCCAGTCCAAGTCCTGGAGGACGGACCTCATATCCGTGCTGCCCACCGACCTGGCCTACATATGGTGGCCGCCCTTCGAGTGCAACAAAAAAGTGCCGTGTCCCGTGATAGTGAGACTCAACAGGCTGTTCAAACTGCCTCGCTTGTGGGAGTGGTTCGAAAGGACAGAGACGGACACAAACTACCCGAACGTGTTCAGGATTTGCAAAGTGGTGCTGGCTATCCTCGTTCTGATCCACTGGAACGCTTGTTTGTATTTCGCGATCAGTTACGCGATTGGGTTCGGTACGGATAACTGGGTGTACAACTTGGACGGACCGCAGAACGGTACTTTGGCGAGGCAGTATATCTATAGTTTCTATTGGTCGACCTTGACGCTAACCACCATCGGGGAAACCCCTGTGCCTGAGAACGACGCGGAGTATTTGTTCGTTGTCGCTGATTTTCTCGCTGGCGTGCTGATTTTCGCTACGATTGTAGGTGAGTATACTCTAGCATCATACGGTAGCGCTCGCCATTCACAGTAACGTCCCGACCATTGTCGTCTTTGAAGAAATACGGCCCGATGATGCCACCGACCCATAATCCACACCAAACAGTGACTTTTTCGGGACGCATCGGCAGCTCTTGCAATGCTTGTAGCTGCTCTCCACTATAGATGCGGCAATTTTGCTTATTGACGTATCCATTCAACCAGAAATGAGCTCCGTCGCTGAACACAACTTTTCGATAAAAATGTGGATCTTCCTCCAACTTTGCCAGCGTCCATTCACCAAATGTTAGATTGTGGGAGGTCGTGTGGCTTCAATTCTTGCACCAGCTGTATCTTATAAGGTTTTACACCTAAATTCTTTCGCAAAAGTTTCCACGTAGTGGAGAACGGCGGCGAATCAACTTTTCACGGTCATCACGAACACTGGCGGATACAGCCGCAATATTTTCTTCGGTCCTCACTCTACGTATGCGTATTGGTGGCTTGATGTCCAATAATGTAAACTGGGTTCGAAATTTAGTCACAAGCTTCCGAATAGCTACTTCAGTAGGCCGACGAAACTGCCCATAAATTGGAAGAAGTGCACGAAACACTTTCTTCACCGAGCATGAATTTTGATAATAAAATTCAATAATCTGCAAGCGTTGTTCATTCGTAAGTCGATTCATGGTTATATTATATAGTCCAAACTGAACAAGTTTGACAATGATAGTGTTGCCAAAAAGAAAATGTGATCAAGAAAGCTGTGTGCAAGATGGGTGCCGCGTTTGCTCACACTAGAGCAGAAACATTGTCTTGAAGATGTTTCAATCGAGTGTTTAGCGAAACTTCACAGCAACAAAGCAGAATTCTTGCGTCGTTTCATAATCATTGTCCATCAAGCAAAATCGTCCGCATTTGGCTTAGAGAACAGAAAACAGTTGTCTCTCGCAGGACATTTGCCAGATTCTACAGTGTTAAAGTTTTGAAAGATGTGAATGTTTTAAATTCCAATTCAATAATCAATGTCAGTTAGTTGAAGAATCAATTTTGAGTTAACCCTCATCAGAGTGAATGTTTGAGAGCTGAAACTATGAAATATTGACAATTTTTTAATAAAGGAATCACAAAAGCAATAAATTATCTGTCGAATCAGTTACAAGTAGAGATTTTCTTCGAGTTTTCATCACGTTGGAATGTCCGTGTTACTAGACTTTGATAAATGATCCTAGACCTCCTCCAGAATGATCAAATTAACAACACTACTCAAAAGAGAATCATTAATAACGTTTTCAGATAACGTGAAAAGAAAAACCGCTAATGCTGACCATCCAATCCTTTGTTTCTGCCTCCTTTTTGAATTACAAATGGATTTTTATCTTGGGATTTATTAGACACCCGAAATAATTGGAAGTTTCTCCAGCTTTTCGAAGGATAATCCGGCAAGCTAATTTCGAGTGGCGGTTGAATAGCAAACAACGTTCATTTATATGCAGTTATTAGGAATTGATTAACGTTGATGAACGAGTGAAAATATATGAAATTTCAAGCCCAATAAAAGGGGAAGCAAGGAAGATGATTCAATGTAGGTTGTTACAAACAATATATGTTCTGAAATGTTTCACAATCATCTGGAATGTTACCGAACCATTCCAGAATCTCGAAGAATGCTCTGGAATGTTGTCAATTGCTTTCGAATATTTTCGATTGTTTTGGACTGTTCTAGAAATGTCCATAGAGCCAACCATCCAGCCCTCATAACTTCACAGCACGCCCTCAATGTGATAGATAAAAGTCTACCACAACACATAGTTCCAAAGATAGTTCCTCAATAATCTTGGATATTTCAGGGTGGCAGGGTGTTTCAGGTTGAGCGTATTTCCGATCACCCCTGGCTGTTTTGGAATGTTGTTGAATGCTCTTGAACACTCTAGAATGTTCTGGGATATTTCAGAACTTTCTAGATCTAGAGGAAGAAACTTCCAGCCCTCATATCTTCATGAGCACGCTATTCAGATTGAAAGGAATTGAGAGCTACCACGCTATATGATTCCTTTGGCTTTACTTTGGCTGTTCCTCAACAATCTGGTATGTTCGGGTTTTTTCCGGAACGTTCCAAAGTATTTCCTAACATTGCACAACATTACATGATGTTCCGGAACTTATTCCTCCGAGATCTGACTATTTATAGGTAATTCGAGTGCTTTCACATATCCCCTCTTCCCTCTCTCCGCTTCATTGGTTTTAGCGGGAGATGACCATTTGGCGGGAGTTGGTCGTTTTTCGCTTGATTAGAGGTTTCCATATGTTACGTATCTCTACGCTAGCTTGACTTGGTGTGATATGTNACATATACGCGGCTTCTTTGAATTTTCTCCTAAACCAGTGTTCCTCTTTGTGGATGATTTCAGCTTGAGCCCACTTGATGTTATGTTGATGAGTCCAAACATTCTCTGCTATTCCGGATTTGTTGGTTTTTCCTCGCTGTGTGTGTTTCTTGTGCTCGACAATGCAAACTTTCAATGGTCTCTTAGTGTCAACGATGTATGATTCTCCGCACTCGCAGGGTATTCGGTAAATGCAATTTTTGAAATCGCAGCCCACGTTTGGTGGCCTAGTTTTCGAGGGGCTGCTACGGATAGTGTTCCCAGATCCGAAGCAGGTTCTGATATTACACTTGGACCCATTTCTTCTTATCCTTTCTGACAATCCTCTGATGTAGGAAAGTACAAGTACTGGTTGTGGCAGCTTCTCTTTATTGTGAGACTTTTGCTACCTTCTAACCAAAGTCTGTTCCACCATCATCATTCCCCGAAAGAGCCCGAAAGCCCGGTCTACTAGAGCATTGATGAGTCCTCTCTTAGTCGATTGATGGTGGTTGGATTCCTGGCTCGGATACTGTCCCGTGTGAGTGGGTTTTCGGTATAAAGTTGTTTCCATTTAGTGTCGGTCCTTACGTTGTTGATGTGCTTCAGGAAAATGCCAAAAGTTCATTTCTCCTGCCCATTAAATTCAAACCTTGAATCCTTCCACTAACTTCACCATTCTTACAGGAAACATCGGTTCCATGATATCCAACATGAACGTGGCCAGAGTGGACTTCCAGAACCGCATGGACGGCGTAAAACAGTACATGGCTTTCAGAAAAGTGGATCGGGAGCTGGAGGCCCGTGTTATCCGGTGGTTCGCATACACGTGGGCGGAAAGCGGTGCCTTGGACGAGGAAAGGGTATTGTCGGCTCTGCCTGACAAGCTCAAGGCCGAGATAGCAATCAGAGTGCACTTGGAGACGCTCCAGAAGGTCAGGATTTTCCAAGACTGCGAACCAGGTTTGCTGGAAGCGTTGGTCTTGAAGCTCCGGTTGCAGGTGAGTTTTTATCAAAATACAAGTGGAAATGTTTACATTCGATGATTGGGGATTGAGTGATACCTGCAGCCTATCGGCAAAGAATACAAAGCTCAGAACTGGCATTTTCGTGTACCGTAAAATTTTTAGTAGTCACCATGACCACCAGAGGGCAGTGTTGCCTACTGGATGAACTATAAAGCAGGGTGACCACATGCGGTAGATTTCTACTTTTCAAATTCAAATACAACACAAATTGAAAAATTGCAGTAGAGGAATTTTCGCCGGTAGATTTGGATAAGATGCCCTTGGCGATAGAATTTTCATTTCAATGTGTGTGGCGACATCAAGCAAATGCCGTAAATTCATTATTTCTAGGTTCCGCCCGAACACAGAACATAATACACAAAATTTTCGCGAAATTTTCCACGTAGTGGAGTAATAGAGGCCCAATTGCTGCGAACGGCGGCGAATCGACATTTCACGGTCATCACGAACACTGGCGGATACAGGTTTCTTTGGTCCTCACTCTACGTATGCGTGTTGGTGGTTTAATGTCCAATAATGTAAACTGGGTTCGAAATTTGGTCACAAGCTTCCGAAACTGCCCATAAATTGGAAGAAGTGCACAATGCACTTTCTTCACCGAGCATGAATTTTGATAATAAAATTCAATAATTTGCAAGCGTTGTTCATTCGTAAGTCGATTCATGTTTCAAACTGAATAAGTTTGACAATGACATAAGACACGATTCACGCGTGATCTGTCAAAAACAGTGTTGCCAAAAAGATATCAGCAAAAAAATCACTAATTATAAGGCCGGCTTCTCGTCCAGAGAGGACAGTGGAGTTCAGAAAGTGAATCGAGCGGTTAAACAAGGAATTCAAATAGTGGAGATAAATTAGGCGTTAGTTGCTAAGTGTTGTAAATGAATTAAATTGTGATTAGTGAAATATTGTAGGAAATAAATTTGTTTAAGACGGTTAATTCTTTAAAATGTCACAATATCTTTGTGACTTTTAAAATTCAACGGAAATACTTTATGTTTTCAACAGCAAAGTCGCCCAAAGCATGCTCATTTTTTTATTTGTGTTGTTCCGGTATTGCTCCAGGGCCATCTCAGATGACAGAAAGGTTTATTTTTTTGTCCCAACAGGTTTCATCTCATAGATATTCTCAAGTCTCTATACAAAGAGAAAACACAAACTATCAGCAAGTTTTTTTTTGTGTTTTCGATAAAAACAAAGTATTTTTATTGTTATGGAAAGCCAACATGGAAACGATGTGTATTTAATGAAGCTCTGTCAACTGACTGCAACGCTAGTAGGCTAATTCACGAGACATGCATTCTTCACAAAGTACTTCGTTTTTTGAATAATGTATGAGACAAATGCAGCAAAGTGAATCCCAAGGATTGTCCTTACAATAAAACACGCCTGTCAACACCGTTTATGTTTATAGAACCATTAACATAGAATGGGTCTTACTGAAAGGCGCCAGTATAATTAGAAATTCACCTCTGCGAGCTCTCACGGAGTAATTCAATTCGTTGAAGTTGAACAGTCGAAAAAACTGAAATTGGATATTCTGAAATTTGTATTCCCGGTCACTGTACAACTTTTTTAACGATGCAATGAAACAAAAAAGAGTATTTGAAACAGTAGATGGGCCAGTGAGTTGCTAATGAAACTTCGGAGAATATAATTTAGAGAATACGTCATTCACAAGATTCGATACATATTTAATAACAAACTTCCTATTTCCAATAAAAAATAACAAACTCAAACTCATTCAATGTTCATGTGGAAGTTGTTATTTCAAAAGGTTTTTTCTTTTCGTGTAATTCAATGTTTGGGTGAAACGGTGTTTTTTCAGTCTGTGGCTGAAAAAAACTTGTGTATGCTCAACACATTTTTGTGGAGTTCTCATTATAGTTATTTTCTTTCTCATTTTCCACTTTTCCACTTTTTTGTTCAATGATGGAGACGTGGAAAGTCAAAAAGCTTTTTTTCCAAATAACTCCATATACAGTCTACACAGTTGATGAATTTTCTCAGGTCGATTTAGACAATTTTTATAGTTGTTATATATTGTAATAGTAAAGAAGAAAGTAATACAAATCTTGAAATTATGAAACAACAACAAAAATTATTTGGCTCTCCGGGGCGACTTCATTGATTCCAGTGGCGCATTATTGGCAAAACAGTTGATCATAACCCGTTAAAAGTTCCATTTTCAGATAAAACAATAACTTTTGCACGTACTGGTTATCAGTCATATCACGAAACGTTGGTTGAAGTTTTAGAAAATCACATACGTTTTTGCTACCTCTTGAACATTTACTAGAAAGTAAATTAGTGAGGATTTTCCATCAAAAGATCCAAAAACACAAGACGAAATAGACTACGGAATCATTGAATCTAGAGCGGTCAAAAGTATTGATTCTGCTATGTTTTTGCTCACGAAGAACCCCAAGAATTCGAAGGAATCCTCTTATTGTCCTAACGAGTATCTACTGGACTTCAAAGACTCCAGGAAATTGGTTGGTGGGAAAGATGATACACTCTTACGAAACTGCAACTGCATGTACAATTGTTTGAGTTTGGTGAATAAATAGGAAACATTCTCGTTCTCGTTCATCTTAAAACCTCGTTCTTGAAATTCTTCGTCATGAACAACACTTGTGAAATGCTATTCCCGTAGCAAGTGTTTTCTAAATTATCTAATCCAGTTTTCTTCGCAAGATTTTCACGACAACTGTCTACTGATTCGTAAGGAAGAACATGTTTCACAGAATATTGTAACGAATTTGAAACCGGCCCTGGCCAATTTCTCAGCCAGCCAATAAACATGACATCACCACGAAAGAACCAGTCTGATTCGCCGGGAAAATACTAGGCGAGTACAGAGGCCAATAGATAAATCTAGAACGATCGTTACCGATATATAAGCCCTGCTTCCCGTTCAGAGATGAAGTCTGTATTCAGAAAGCGAATCGAGCGGTTAAACAAAGAATTAGAACAGTGAAGATAAATTAAGCGTTAGTTGCTGAGTGTTGAATATAAATTAGTTGTGATAGTGAAATATTGTTAAAAATGAATTTGTTTAAGACAGTTAATTCTTTAATTCGTTATAGTTACAGTTTTCATCACTGTACATCACCTTGACATTCTATTTCTTGTTACTCATTTATTGTGTCGCCTATTTATTATAATTTTTGCTGGGTTTCACTAACTCGTAATCATTGTTTTGTCATCCTCACTAATTTCACTCATTATGAACTTTCATTCGGATTTTTTCTCAAGATTTCCATGCTTGTGATAAATCTCAGGGAATATAGTTGACCGATTGAATACCTTAAACGAAACTGAGTCATGTGTTCAACAAGGAACCCACATATTTTTATTATTGAATATCACACAGCTGATGGAAACCATCAAACTTTTCTATTGAAAAAAATAAACAAAACGAAAATATGAATTTTCATCTGGAATGAAATATTTCAAAAGTTCATCGAGAGTCAAAAAGAGCATTACTTTAAAATGGGGGCTTTGGGAAACAATCATTTGAAGAATGTATCATTTCAATTTTGCAGATTTTTTGCCTATGGTCTGCAAATTTCGCCTACGGCTGCGGAAGACTATCACAAGCAAAATGACACCGGATGAAGTGCCATCTGTAGTTTCAGATACTATCTGTAGCACTTCATCCACTGCTTCATCGTCTTTGATGATGCTACCGCAGTCGTAGGCGAATCGCCAGCCATCAAGACCACGGCCACCAAACCAGAAGAAAACTTTTACACAAATATATTCGCGTTCAAACGCATTTTCATTTTGTTACGTTTTACAGGTATTTTCTCCTGAAGACTACATATGCCGCAAGGGTGATGTTGGGAAAGAGATGTATATTGTGAAAAGAGGAAGATTACAGGTGAGAAGTTTCTATAAGTACAAGTGTAATATTGGCACATGTAGAATTGAACCTTGAGGTACTCACGCAATGACTGTTCAATCATTTTTCACTATAAAACTCCTCGAGCTGTTGACTTATTTTAGTCTGAGTCTGGGAAATAAATAGTTCTAATGACTTGGGCTATAATTTCTGATCACCTCCAAATATAAATTATAATAATACGTTTGGAGAGCCATCGTGACAGAATGATACTCGTACACCAATCGCTGAATTCCTTAGACAGTATATTCATTTACATTTGACGTTGCTCAGGAGTTTCAGCATCTGTAGCTGATGTAGTGTCATCAGCATAGCCTGCTGAATATTCAGATAGATTGATCAGTCATTAATAAATAGTAAAAATATGAGGGGCCCTAGGACAGAACCTAGAGGCACCCCAAAGCTAATAAGTGTTCTTTCGCAATAAATAACCTGCAGTAAGATACCTCTTTACACTCGTGTCCGTTAAAAACTTTTGTTAATGAACTTTCAGGTAGTAGCAGACGATGGACTCACAGTGCTTGCCATTCTCGGTGCTGGTTCTGTCTTTGGAGAGGTCAGCGTTCTGGATATAGCAGGAAACCGAACGGGAAATCGCAGAACTGCCAACGTTCGATCCTTGGGGTACTCCGATCTATTTTGTCTGGCCAAGGATGATCTTCTAGTGGCCCTCGCAGATTACCCAGAGGTGAGAATTCAACTTGGAGGACTGTTTCATTTTGTCTTTCTATCAAGGATCGTTTACTTGAGTTTGCAAATGTTTTGAAAGGTGAAAATTAGTCGTAGGTTAAGTTGGTATGAAATGTTTACCATGGACTGTTGCATAACTTGAGGAACGTATCTAAATGCTTATGGTAACCACGTATAAAAAACGTTAAACACATCTAAAGACCTAGTATAGGTAACAAATGTCGATAGTTGAGATTATAATCAAGTTAGCCAAGAAAAAAACCAACTCAGTGTTTTGTTTAGAGAAAACAGTAAAACAATTTCCAGTTGAATATACTATCACTAGAAGAAAGCATTGAATCACCTACAAGCAGTCAAAGAGCCTAAAAAATGCTATAGCAAGCCACATAATTATTATTTAAGGAAATCTGAAACATTCGTAAGTTTACGACGCTTGGAAACACATAAATACAAAATCAGACACTTTTTTCACTATCCAACAATGTGTCCCAAAAACAGGTTAGAAACATCTACCTTCTATTCCAACAAAACAGTTTAGACAAAGTTAATGACACTTGGAACCACATAGATACAAAACCAAACACTTTTTTCGATATCCCAACAGTGTGTTCCAAGAACAGGTTTGATACATCTGCCTTCTGTTCCAAAGGAACAGTTTAGACCTAGATAATGACACTTGGAACCACATAGATACAAAACCAGACACATTTTTGAACATCCCAATAGTGTGTTCCAAGAACATGTTGAAAACATCTTCTTTCTGATAATTATTTAGAGATTATTAGAGATATGAGAGATAATCTGAAACAGGATTAAAGAAAGTTGAAATGAAGGTTCATGGAGAAAGAAAAACAAATCTTGTTACCAAAAGCTAATATATGAAAAAGAGTGGAATGGTCTTAAAAACTGGGTGACAAAAATCAAGATAATACTGTGACCGAAAAAAAAATCAGCGACAAAGTTTTTATCAACATTAATTGACCTGATAATGAGCTTTGATAATTTTCTTCTTCTTGAAGTTTTGAAATTTGAGGGGTTAATTACTCTTTGTAGGCTAGAGCGACTTTGACAGAACGCGGCTGTCAGCTGTTGCGTAAGGACGGCCTCCTCGACGAAGAACAGTTCCAAAACGCGAGAGAGACACAGGAATCGATCGTAGACAGTATCAAAAAATTGGAAAACACCGTGGAGACATTGCAAACACGTCTGGCAAGGTTTTTGGCCGAGTTCACGGCTAGCCAGGCGAAATTGAAACAGCGCTTGACGAAAGTCGAGAGCAGGTGAGATTATTTCTATAGTTCATGCACGATTGATATCCTTTTTCATTAAATACACGTCACAGATAAGTTCAGATAAGTAGTTCCATGACTTTGATTTCTGTCTCTGCCGTATCTGTCTAGACGCGTTTATTTCCTACATAAAAATTGTTTTGTGATGAAGTGTTTCAACCTTTCAGTTTATAGTAAGTGAAAGCGCCATCTATGGGAGCGACAGAAACCCCAATCCGTATCAAAGATAAACGAGGCACCCCCAAGCGGACATTTGCAGAGCCTGGCTTCGCAGCTGACAACTTTGGGAAGCCTCAATTATCTTGATACTCGTGGATTGAGTCTTTTGTCAATTATATAGGTGACGCACCAACGGAGATTGAAAAAAATCAAAAAGGAATCTCTCTTGTTCCACCGTTGAGGGAAAGTGGCGTTAGATCTTCCAATTTTCTCCTCCTGGTGAAGGGGATTATCACAGTTTTGCTGGGGTTGACAAACCCCAGGCTCCCTCAGGCCCCAACTGTGAACAACGTCCATCGTGCTTTGGAGGATATTACAAACTACTCTACCCGACGTTGACCTTGCCAAGATGACAAGGTCATCTGCATTAGCTTGCAGATCTACTTTTCTTCAGTTTTAAACTAAGCGCAATGTCGCCGCGCCGTGCGTATTTATCCCGTTCAAAGCAATCCAGATCGTTCTCGAACACTAACGCGCTGGTCCGGCTGGTCGGTTTTAGCCGATTCTAGCTTGATGGCGTCAGCGGCAGATCGCTCACCGCAACGTTGCCGCTGTTTATGTTTAATATTATGACAATTAGATTTTTTTGTGGAATTTTCGGAAGCTTCTCTGATTTTTGCAGTTTGTATTTTTTAAATTAAAATCGTTGTGAGAGCTACCAGAATTGCCTCCGCGAGCTACCGGTAGCTCGCGATCGACAGGTTGGCGACCACTGGTCTAAATCAACACGACCAATCAGTGTACCAACATAAAAAAATCGCTAATCCAATGTTCGTAGCCCGTGAAGTTTCAACATTCACCTTATTTTTTCAACAGCCCCCGTACATGCCTATGTTTGTAATTCTACTAAATATTATTGAGTTTTTTCAGTTCTCTTTCACTTCTTCTGAAAACATATTCGTGGATAGTCTTTGGAGGTTTTTTCCAGGCTTCTCAGAATCCCTGTCCATCTCCCTGAATTGAAATATCCGTTCTCTCTTAATTTCAGGCCCGAGAAATCAAAGGAGACCGACGCCTCCAGGAATATGCTGCTCGTTCCCGCGGGGAGACGCAGATTGCATTCGTTCGAGGTCAGGAGAGAAGACGCCGTCAAATTCAACTTCAATAGTTCCAGGCACAAGACTATGTAGAGATCGACCAAATACTATTTTAAGATAAACGTTAATTTTTTATGTTCACATAGTACAATTTGGTATATTATATAAATTAGTTTGGTATCATATGGATGAATATATATTGATTTTTATAAATAAACCACGGTGGAGCTTTTTTTCATGAGTGGGCTTGGTTTTACAAAGACTGGCTGGTTATCAGACTCGGTAGGAATTGAAACCTCATCAAAAGTATTTAGGGAAAATTTGTTGAGAAGTACCGAATAGTCTACATATTGATCCGAGTAGTATCTTCGTATCAAAATCATGGAATAGTACCGAATGCGGTACAATAGTACCTTAACGGCAGCACTGCTCTGGACTTGTATGTTGAGGATGTTGCAATAATGGCCATGTTACTATTGCGCAAGGCTGGTGTAAACCTCGAAGTGGGAATGAGTCAATTGAGGCTCAGCCTACGGCGCAACCTCTGCTGCAGGCAACCAGTGATGCAATTGAACCCAGGTTTGTGTTTAACAACCCCTACAAAATACAAATAAAACAGAACACTGAGTCAGATGCTACAAATGCAATACGCATACAGGCCCCACACACCTCATTAAATATGAGTACAATTATTATTTATACCATTGGATAGCATTTTTTATAGTCTTTTCATTGATGTATCACAAGTAGGGGTTTCCAATTTAAACTTTTTGAGTCTTGGTGAGTGGGGCCTAGGGGGTTGATGAGGGTGAGTTCTCTTTCACGTCACTTCAGTTCCCCCTTACTATCCTAGAAACGGTTTCAAGCATTTTTCGATATCAGCTCTCTGAAGAACTGGCTGGTGTCTCAAATGCCACAAAAGAAATAACCAGGAAAGGAATTTCTGGCAAAGACATAATAATCTGCACTGATGGTAGACAAGCCCTATTAGCCTTGAACAGACAACGTGTTACCTCAGGGCTAGTACTAGAATGCCACCAAGATTTAGCCAAAGCCTAGGTAGATAATAACATTATCCTGACGTAGATTAAAGGGCTCGACATGAGTAAAGGTAATCGCATTGCCGACTCTTTAGCCAAGGAAGCGGCTGGACTAGGAATTTTAGGACCAAGTGGCACCTACGGCCTGATGACTTCGACAATTGCGGAACTAGCCAAACGTTACACCCATACTCAATCCCTAAAGAGATGGGATAGAGTCAAAAGATGTAGTCTTGCCACGATCACCCTGGGCGACCTTGGGAAGCTGGCGCCGAAGAAATATCTGGCAATGACCAGGAAAAACCTACGCTTAACAGTAGGATTTCTAACTGGCCACTGTCAACTAAGGAAACACCTCCATATCATGGGGCTAGTGGATACACCTCTATGCAGGATGTGTGAACAGGAAGATGAAACTGTAGCATGATCTATCAATGAAATTGAATCATTTTCATTAATTTTAATTTCGACTGTATTTCTCCCGATTTTATTTTGTTTATACGTTGTTGTAATGATCAACGCTTAAGTTTCAGTTCATTTGCAAGGTGCAACTCTGTATTTTTCAATGAATTAATCTCTTCAACAGCGACTTGCAAGGTTTTATCGTAGGTATACTTATATTAATGTGTCATCTGCAAATAAGTTAATCACATGATCACCATCTACGTAATTCATATCATTTACATAAATTTAAAAAAGTAATGGTCCTAATACACTACCTTGTGGAACTCCCTGATCATTTACTAACTCTTGTGAGTAGCACCTATCAATTGTTGTTATTTGACTCATCAAACTGAGGTAACTTTTTATACACTTCAAAACTATATCACCAATACCATAATATTTGAACTTTTGAGCTTTCTGAGCTGCTGAGGTCCTATTGTTTGTCTTCGGTGTGGTTTATTATAATAAAGGGCATAGAAGTAGTTTCTTGGAGGGGAATATCAGTTCCACATTTGCAAACCGTCTTTCTGCAGAAGGACATCAGTACAATCATGAATATGACGTGTTAAATTTGGAAAAGAAAAGTTTGAAACTCAATCTTTTAGATAGACAGATTCAAGAATTTCGTTACTGAATATTTTTCAAATGTGGAAACTGACAGATAAGCACAGGTCATTTAATTAATTACAAACTCAGGTACACATTTAACATTATTTACTAAGTAAAACTCAGGTACTCAAAGTTTAGGTACTTCTAATTGTGAAAATTTAATAAGTATTTAATATGTAGATTTACTTGATAGTGAAAACCACACAATAAACTGTTTCTTGAATACACAATCTTACGGACATTATTGATGAATATCTTGAGGACAGCTTTGATGGATATCTTCTGCACCACCTTGATAGATATCTTGAGGACATCCTCGATAGATATCTTGTGGACATCCATGATGGATATCTTACAGACATTCTTGATGGGGGTCTTAAGAACATCCATAAACATCTTAAGAACAACCTTGACGGAAATCTCATGGGAAGCCTTGATGTATATCTTGTGGACATCCTTGATAGTTATCTTAGGGACATATGTGATGGATATCTTACAGACATTCTTGATGGGGCTTTTAAAAGCATTCTTGATGAACATCTCAAGTACAACCTTGACAGAAATGTTATGCACAGCCTTGATGGATATCTTATGGACATCCTTGATGGACATCCCAGGGACATCCTTGAATATCTTACAGACATGCTTGATAAGTATCTTTAGGTCAACCTTGATGAACATATCAAGGACAGCCTTGATGGATATCTTCTGGACATCCTTGTTGGATATCTCGGAGACATCCTTAGATATCTTCATTCTTGACTGGTATCTTAAGGTCAACCTTGATGATCATCTCAAGGACAACTTTGACAGAAATCTTATGGACAGCTTTGATGGATATCTTGTGAACATCTTTGATGGACAGCTCAGGGACATTCTTGGATATCTTACAGACATTCTTGATGACTATCTTAAGGACAACCTTGATAAACATCTCAAGAACAACCTTGACAGAAATCTTATGGACAGCCTTGATAGATATCTTGTGGACATCCTTGATGGACATCTCAGGGACCTCCTTGGATATCTCACAGACATTCTTGAGGGTATATCAAGGACAACCTTGATGAACACATCAAGAACAACCTTGACAGAAATCTTAGGGACATCCTTGGATGTCTTAGAGACATTCTTGATTAGTATCTTAAGATCAACCTTGATGAACATTTCAATTACAACCATGACAGAAATCTAATGGACAGCCTTGATGGATATCTTGTGGACATCCTTGGATATCTTACAGACATTCTTGATGAGTATCTTAAGATCAACCTTGATGAACACTTCAAGTACAACCTTGACAGAAATCTTATGGACATCCTTGATGGACGTCTCAGGGACATCCTTGGATATCTTGCAGACATTCTTGATGAGTATCTTTAGGTCAACCTTGATGAACATCTCAAGGAGCATTTCGACAGAAATTGTATGGACAGTCTTGATGAACATCTTAGGGACATCCTTGGATATTTTACACATTCTTGATGGGTATCTTAAGGTCAACCTTGATGAACAGCTCAAGGACAACCTTAACAAAAGTGTTATGGACGTTCTTAATGGACATCTTACATACATTCTTGATGGATATCTCAGCGACAGCCTTGATGGATATTTTGAAGAGAACCTTGATGAATATTTACGGACAATCTTGATGGGTATTTTACAGACCAGTCCGGGATGTTCATCAGACATCCATAAGTATTCTTTGGAGATGAATTAGACATCCATTGTATATCCGTAAAATCCAGAATGGATATCCATCAGATGTCTGTGTGCTGTTTGTGTTGTATTTTTTAATTTCAGATTGGGATTCCTATTTTTTTGTGGAGAAAGATATACTAGTAGTATTTTTGTACATGGTATAATGAACATTGTTGTAAAGAGTTTTTGAAGGTATTAAAAAATGATAGTCTCATTTCAAAAATAAAAGTTTTATTCATGTTTTTACATTGAAAATCATGAAGTTGATTTTCGTCAACTGATTCAAATATTCTCAACCTTATTACAACTTTTTGTAGTCTTGAAGTAGCAAATTATGAAAAAGACGAAGTATGCAATAAGTATGAAAAATTAAAAATGCTTCAGCCTATAAATATCACCCCTAATGGAAGTCATCGGAATCAACCACTCAAAATTCTAAAGTCAAATTCTCACAATATAACAGTTATGACCTAACCTAAAATGCCAATAGACAAATCAAATAATGAACATAAAAATACATTGGCACTTCTCATCACATTTTTTACAACAGGAAATGCGGGTTGAATTTTTTTTCAGTTCTGATAAAATTCCTGAATATTGACCGTGGGATCGAACTTTATTTCAACGTCCCCTAATTCGTTCTTAGCCTTCTGTGCGTTTTCCAAAATCCGCCTCAAATTCACTTCTGTATCGTTTGTATGCAAAGCACACCTGAAAAAAAAAACGTGGATGACGTTCGACATTAAAAAATATCACGTCATTAGTTCAAAATGTCAATTTCGAAGTATACATATACAGGGTATTCCAAATCAAGTCGGAACCGTTACATTAATTCATTAACAAGAGTGTCGGAAGAGTTTTTCGATGATCTTGATCTGGAGGCGCGTCAGCTGATCTATTTTCAGCAGCAGATGAATAAATTCAGTGGCGTAAAAATAATGTTGCGAGACTGTTTTGGAAACAGATGAATTGCTACAAATGGTCATGTTAAGTGGCCTCCTCGTTGACCAGACATGACACCTCTAGAATTTTATTTTTTGGGGATTTCTCAGAAATGAGGTGTACGAAATAAAACATAACAATGTCGATGAACTGAAAGATTATATTGAAACTATAATAATTAATAGAATTCATGGCTGAATTGTGGGCCCAAATATTATGTGTTCAACAAAAAGGCGGTGTTTTTGAATATTTACTCGATATTTTATAGCTCTTTATTGGCCAAAACAAAGAAATTTTTTCTACTAGTGAAAGAAATAAATATTTCCACACAAGTCGCTCATTTTCAACTTTAGAAAGAAATGCGATAAACATAAATACAAAATCAGACACTTTTTTCACTATCCAACAATGTGTCCCAAAAACAGGTTAGAAACATCTACCTTCTATTCCAACAAAACAGTTTGGACAAAGTTGATGACACTTGGAACCACATAGATACAAAACCAAACACTTTTTTCGATATCCTAACAGTGTGTTCCAAGAACAGGTAAAAACACCTGCCTCCTGTTCCAATGTAACAGTTTAGACCAAGTTAACAATACTTGGAACCACATAGATGCAAAACCAGACACTTTTTTCAATATCCCAACAGTGTGTTCCAACAACAGGTTTGAAACATCTGCCTTCTTTTCCAATGGAACAGTTTAGACAAAGTTAATGACACTTGGAACCACATAGATACAAAACCAAACACTTTTTTCGATATCCCAACAGTGTGTTCCAAGAACAGGTTAAAAACACCTGCCTCCTGTTCCAATGGAACAGTTTAGACCAAGTTAACAATACTTGGAACCACATAGATGCAAAACCAGACACTTTTTTCAATATCCCAACAGTGCGTTCCAAAAACAGGTTTGAAACATCCACCTTCTATTCCAATGAAGTAGTTTAGATCAAGTTAACGACATTTGGAACTACATAGATACAAAACCAAACACTTTTTTCGATATCCCAACAGTGTGTTCCAAGAACAGGTTAAAAACACCTACCTCCTGTTCCAATGAACAGTTTAGACCAAGTTAACAATACTTGGAACCACATAGATGCAAAACCAGACACTTTTTTCAATATCCCAACAGTGTGTTCCAAGAACAGGTTAAAAACACCTACCTCCTGTTCCAATGGAACAGTTTAGACCAAGTTATCAATACTTGGAACCACATAGATGCAAAACCAGACACTTTTTTCAATATCCCAACAGTGCGTTCTAAAAACAGGTTTGAAACATCTGCCTTCTATTCCAATGGAACAGTTTAGACAAAGTTAATGGCACTTGGAACCACATAGATACAAAACCAAACACTTTTTTCGATATCCCAACAGTGTGTTCCAAGAACAGGTTAAAAACACCTGCCTCCTGTTCCAATGGAACAGTTTAGACCAAGTTAACAATACTTGGAACCACATAGATGCAAAACCAGACACTTTTTTCAATATCAGCATTTAAAGAAATATAATTTTATGAAATATTTTGAAAACACGACTGTCACTTTTTTTTGTCTTTTAGCACCAATAATAACGGAGTTGGCAGTGGTGCCGACGTAATTTGGAACACCCTGTGTAAAGAATATATCAATTAATTGAGACAAAAATCAGTTCAGGATGTTTTGGGATAATGATGATGATAATGATGATATTCATCAATATTTTTCAATGAAAACATACGGATTTTTTATTCTTTTGATTTTTCGTTTTACTTTTTTCATTAAACTATAAAAAACAGGGTGTGGGTACTTACGCACGAAAGAACTCGTACTTCTTTGCCGTGACAAGATAAAAATCTTTCAAAAAATTTTATCCTTCGCTCGATCTTACGTTTTTAGAAAAAACGACACTGATAATAGAAAAAAAGGATTTTTTTGCATTGAAAGTTTTATTATAACTCATTTTCTAGTTGAAAAAAAAGTATATTTGAATTTCATAAAATTAAACAATCATGTAAAAATTTATTTTAGTAAATAAATAATACATACCGTCAACTAACCTCAAATTCTACGAACGTGCTCAAAGTAATATGTAAAAACCACTTTTATCACTTATAATTACAGTAAATTATCTTCAAATCAATAAATTGTTAATAAAATCAGTCACCACGATATATTACTTGAAAAAATACATATTTATGTATATTTTCTTTTGAATGATGCAACTAATTTTCCTTTATTTTCAGTATTTCAATATTAACATATGTCAGAAAAAGGATTTGAAGCTTTATAACTTCCATTTATTATAAGCGAGCCCTTTCGACAGCTGGCAATACTATAATCTTCCTGGTTCTCCTCAGGCTGAACATTTTATCTTCTTGTTTATTCTTTTATGCGGTTAAAATGCCTCAGTGCTGGTACTGCAGGTAAATTTGCCTATATTTGGGTTACATCACGTAATATCCTCTGTGTTGGATTTTCTCTAGGTTCACTGTTTCTAGAAATATGTATTGTATTGTGTAGTTTATTGAATGTTAGGTCTTGTGTTTTGATTTGTATTGGTACTCGATACATGAATTATGACTTTTAAATTCATGGATATTTAAGTTTTCCCAGATGTCCACATGGTTTCCTTTATTGACTTGTTTAAGGGGTTTTTGTTCTCTGGTGGGGGAAAGTTATGTTAGGATTTTAAACAAATTTTTTCCCCACCAGAGGACATAAAACTCATGAAACAAGTTAATAAAGGAAACCATATGGACTAGGAAAACTTAAACATCCAAGTAAAAAAATAAAGAGTTTTTATAAAAGTGAATGAGAAAACTTAAGGTGGCAGCAGTGACTCGAGCAAGACAACTGCGCCCCCAGACGAAGTTTCTGTTCACTATGGACGGCAGTCTGGCCAAATGCGCCCGATTGAGCAGCAACAGCCATATAAATTAAAGAAGAAGAAGAAGCTAACTTCACGGTGTCGTTTTTTTGTGACGGTGTGAGCCAGATCATGAAAATTCACTCTCTTCATGTTTTTCTAAAGCGCCAAAAGAATTATAACTTCAAAAAGCTGATTCTGACATTTTTTAAACCTTTTGTAACTTTCAATCATCCACTTTGTTTTGCAACAGAAATCAACTCAAATTTATTGCTCTGAAGTCCTGGAAATATGAAATAGGTACTTTGAAAACAGTATTCAATTAATTTATTCAAAATGATTTTTTATTTTGTCCTCCTGACAACACGAATCCTGTTTCAAATTTACTTGTCCTGGATTGGTTTATTCTCGTCAGAGAACCCGCAAAATTTAAAAAAATGCTCAATTTTGTAGTTTTTTCGAATTGAATTGATGTTTGCGCTGAACAAAAAGAATAAAGAAAACAATAAAATCCACTTACTTTCCTTCCCCGAAATGGGAATAATCCTGGATAGCAGCTCCGCATAAATAGCACATTTTGGCACCGCAGTTGCAAGTCATCTTGTTGCAGCCTGACGTTTTGATGAAAGGTTTATGGCAGCTGTAACAAGTTCTGGACAAAAAAAAAAGATGCCCGTGACTCAAAGTGAATATTTTTCAAATGGTGAGTTGTTCACCGATAATAAAAATCGCAGAATTGGACCAATATTGACGTTTCGTCATTTATTCAGTCACCTTCAGGTCATATACAAAGAGAAATATTTTTAAACGAGACAGGAAATATATAATTTCGACTCAAATGTCAAAATAATAATTTAGAATTGGCAATTTCCAGTTTGAAGTCAGAATCACATAGAATGAGTTGTTTGAAACTTGAACTTCTAAATCTATTGTCAGAATTCAATGTCCAGAAACCTTTCAGATCATAATTATGTTGACATTCAAAGTCAGAATTCTGACTTTGAATTCTAATTCAAAATCAGAATCTTGTTTTTGAAGTGAAAGTTCGGAAATTTGACTTTCGATGCAGACTTCCAACAATGAAGTCATAATTTTGACTTTGAACTCAAGATTCTCGTTGAATTGGGAATTTGAAATTCAAAGTCAGAATTCTTACTATAAATTATACTTTAAAGTTGGAATCTTGAGTTTGAAATCAAAGTTTGGAAATTTTGACTTTAAAGGCAGTATGTCCAGTCAAAATGACGTAAAATTTGAGCCTTTGAGTCACGCCATTTCGATTTCTCGTTGAAAACGGTACCCGAAATTCCAACTATGAAGTCAAAATTTTCACTTTTAACTCAAGATTCTGATTGAATTAAGAATTTGACATTTAGAGTCAGAATTCTGACTATAAATTCTACTTCAAAGTCAGAATCTTACATAGAATATGAATCGTTGAAAACCGCCATTTTGATTTTCCGTTAAAAATGATAACTTTGAATGTCCATTCAGACTTTTAACCCAAAATTCAATTATGAAGTCAGAATTTTTACTTTGAACTCTAGATTCTGATTGAATTGGGAATTTGGCATTCAAAGTCAGAATTCTGACAATAAATTCTACTTCAAAGTCGATTTCTTGGCTTTGAAGTCAAAGTTCAGAACTTTGGACTTTCACGACAAAATTTACAAATCAGTCAAAAACTACATAAAACGTTAGCCTTTGAAGTGCGAAATTTTGATTTCCCATAAAAAATGTTAACTTTGAACATAGATTCTGATTTTCAACCCGACATTCCAACTATGATGCCAGAATTTTGACTTTGAACTGAAGATTCTAATACAATTGGGAATTTGAAGTTCAAAGTCAAAATTCTAACTAAAAATTCTACTTCAATGTCGGAATATTGTGTTTGAAGTCAGAGTTTTGACTATTAATCAAAATTACATAAAATGTGAGCCTTTGAAATGCGCCATTTCCCGTTAAAAATGATAACTTTGAATGTGAATTCCGACTTTTAACCCAAAATTCAACTATGAAGTCAGAATTCTGACTTTGAATGTCACGGCAGAATTTACAATTCAGTCAAAAACTACATAAAATGTTAGCCCTTGAAGTGCGAAATTTTGATTTCCCATAAAAAATGATAATTTTGAATATGAATTCTGACTTTCAACCCGACATTTCAAGTACAAAGTCAGAATTTTGACTCTGAATTCAAAGTTCTGATTGAACTGGGAATTGAAATTCAAAGTCAGAATTTCATGTTCCTTGGTAGGTTTATAACCTTCCACAGTCTGAAAAATCAACAAATATAGATCAACAGAGAATCAGCTCAAAAGTAACGAAGGGCAAACCAAAAAAACATCAAGATAAATCAATACTTCCTCAAAATGAAGTCTTTCATATAATTTCATGCTTTGAATCGAAGTTCTGACTTGTGAGCTCATCAAACGGGCCATTTTTTTACAAGAAATTGATGATATGTCTGAATGAGCTCATATTCGATGCACATCCGACTTTGAATTCTGAATTTTGACTTTGAAGTGAAAAATCTTATTTCGACATTCGACTTATGAAAATCTTCAATCCCTTTGAAGACCTTCGTGTATTTAAATATTGCAAGTATTTCCCATTATATTCAATACTTCCCATTAGCCAGAGGATGACTGAATAAACAGCCGAAACGTCAACATTACCAGAACAATATTTCTAGTTCACAAAAACCTCTCACCTCGTCAAAGCTTCAGTCATCTTGTTCTCGATAAAGGTCCTTCTTCTCACGTCCTCATCGTACTCGATTTCGTTGCACCGCAACGGAATATGCGACTTGTGCCTGCACTGCCTGCACGACTCGATCAAACATTCTTCGTTGATGCACTTAAAAATCTTCTCGTTCTCAGGCAGGACCATGGCGAAATCGCAGAAGGGGCAAGTCTCGAGGCCGTCGACGTTCGCCTTTTTGATCTCCTCGCTGGCAGACCTTTGTGTCAGGCGTTCGAAGATATTTTTCGGTAGGACCATCTACGGAATTAAAGGATATCGGTGTACGACAATTATAATGATATTGTTATTTTAACACAAACTTTACCGCTCCTTTACGCTTAACGCGCGCTTCCTCATGTAACGCCATCTAGGGGACTAGACATTAACTATTTCCTGTCAATAGTTGTCAAACTGTACAATAGATGGCGGTAGATGGCAGATTTTTCTCTTTTTCTGGCCTCTCATACATTCCTTAATTACTTGCATTTTCCCATTGCAGTCTATTTTTTCCTTATAGACTCATCATTCTTTATCTCTCCATTTTTGTGTTCCTCTCTATTCCTCCCCCCCTTCCCTTCCAAAAGACTATATTTTCCCACTTTCCTCTACCCAGATTTTTCTCTTTTTCTGGCCTCTATACGCTCCTTTGTTGTTTTATTCAACTCTTCAGCTTGGTTCCTTTCTCTACGAATCTTTCTCATTATTGCTTCCTTCATTTCTTTCTCTCTATCTCATGAGAGCTGCTTTCTTTTTTTCAATATTTTCTGTATGTTTCTCTCTTGCTACTATATTTCCTGCTTCTTCATCCTGGCTTTCTTCTCATTTTCTTAGATAACTTTCACAATGAGTACTTTTTCTGAAATATGCCCTTATCTAACATCCAATTCCAATAATGTCGATATATTTACGTACACCGCCATCTGCCCATGAATAGATCAAGCAATAATGTCGGTATATCAAGGAGGTTACATACAGCGCCATCTACCCGCGAATAGATCAATCAATAATGTAGATATATCAGGGTTACGTACAGCGCCATCTGCCCGCGAATAGATCAAGCAATAATGTCGATATATCAAGGATATTACGTACAGCGCCATCTGCCCGCGAATAGATCAAGCAATAATGTCGATATATCAAGGAGGTTACATACAGCGCCATCTACCCGCGAATAGATCAAGCAATAATGTCGATAATTCTGTCAAATACAGATCCTGAGCTTGAGAGTTACAAACAAACTGACATACAAACAAACAGACATACAGGTGAAGCTAATATAAAGCATGTAAAAACAACAATTTTGAGAATAAGCTCAGGTGGCGACCTGTGGAATAATGGAAGAGAAACACAGTATTTGAAATACAATGAAAAAGAAAAATAGCAAATGGGGGGCCACTCACCTGCAAAGTTTGAAAGCTGAACTCGGCCCCACAATTGTTGAAACAAGGGAATTTGATTTCCCCTTTACCGATGACGTTTTCGGTCCCAGTTTTGACGCAATCCTTGCAGAAGACGCAGTCCTTCATGCAAAAATAGCACTCTTCGGGAATCAGCTCATCGTCAAAGCAAGTCTGACACGTTTCGAGAAGGTTGTATTTTCTAGCTTCTTCTTTGGCAAGTCGATAGGAATCGTCCCTCATTTTGATCATTCTCTTTATGAGCTTGCGGTTCCTCAAATAAGTCACCTGAAAATGTAATTTATACAATCATAAAGTGAAATGATGGATGCTCAATTTTTTGGATTATGAATAAATATTGCCAAAAAAATCAACAGGGTTGCTTAATTTTTCCATTTCTGTTGTACGAAAAAACTTTTCAACATTTTTTTCCTCTATATCTCTCTACCTGTATTTCCCAAGATTACAGCTTTTTCCAGATCTACCTTTTCAATTTTACCAAACTTTTAAGTTACCATCTAATGATTCACTATTGTTAAATGTGACCCTAACTCTCTTTCCATATAATCCCACATATGTTTTAAAATCTTTCAATAAAACTAGATTTAATTCTAAATGTATTTTTTGGAGTTGTTTTTTTTATTTCTTCAGCCCCCGGTTTTTCTTTTTCTCTCTCCTAGTTTTCCTCTTTCCATTATCCTCTTTGTCACTTTCCATATCTTACGCTTTTCACATCCCTCACTTTTTCCATAGCTTTTGTCCTTCAATACCATTTATCTTGTTCCAAAACTCTATCTTTTTTCTTTCTAAATATATGTCTGTTTTGTTATAGTTTTGTTAATTTTTTTTCTCTTGTTGTCTTTACCATATTTCCCAGAATTTGCAGATTCCTTATAAAATCATCTCTCTTGACATCACCCTCTGCTGTGACCTGCAGGTTTACTACTCCATAACTATTTTTTTTGTTAAAACTCTATATCCCTAACTTCTTAGATCTTTTTTCTCTAGTTTTCTCTTTAGGTCTATTTATTTCCTAGTTTTTTCATCTCTATTATTCTTTAGATCCCTCATCTTTTCTCATCCAGCATATCTCTAGTCCTATCTCTCCAATTTCTAGTTTTCCTGTTTTGATTCCTTTCTCTCTCTCTATCCAAGGTTTCTATACCCAAGTTACTTCTTTTGTTGTTGTCTCATACCATTTCCCACCCATTTTCTTATCCAGGGGTTTTCTATTATTTTCTGGGTTTGTCATCTATCTTTCTCTTCTCTAATTCATCAGTATTGATGTGCCTGTTCTTATTTTTTCCTCTAATTTCCTCATTCACATTCACTTCAAAGTCCCCTATCCAGTTTTCCCTCTCTTACTTTCCCTCAAAGTCCCTCTCCACAATTCCTCTTTTACTCTTTACCGCTTTTCTTCTCTCTCCTAGTCTTTCTCTTCTATTTCTCTTTCAGTCTGTCCCTGTCTCAGTTTCTTTCCTCTAGTTCTCTCTTCTTCTCCCTTAGTCTCTCTTCCTCTCTTTTTCTCTTATTCTCTCTCACTTTCGCTCTCTTCCACACATTTTCTCTTCCCCTTCCCAACCTAGTTTTTCATTAAGTTCAAATCCAACATCTCTCTACATTTTCTAATTCTCTCCTTTCTGTTTCCTTAGTGTTACTCTTAATTTTTTTATGTTTTCTTACTAAATGTTCCACCATCACAACAGCTTTCTCATTCAAATATTCCTATCTCATGAAGATACCTCTTCTTACATTTTATTCATCGTTTTTTCTGACTCTCACCCCTATTTCTCTATTAGTCGGTCGGTCCCTCTCTTCTTCTCCCTCATTCTCTTTCCTTCATTTCTCTTTCAGTCTATCCCTGTCTCAGTCCATTTTCCCTATTCTTTCTCAGTCTGTCCTTCTCTTCTTCTCTCTGTCTCGCTTTCTTTCTTTTTCTCCTTTCTCTCTCACTTCTTCTCTCTCCCTCATTTTCTCTATTCCCCTTCTCACCCAAATGTTTTCTACCTAATTTTTTATTTAGATGACATCCAACAGTTTACCATTCAGATCTCTCTCTTTCTCTCTCTCTCTCTCCTATTCTTGCTTTACTGATTCTCTCCTTCTTATTTCCTCTCTCATCCAACTATCTCTGTTCATCCAGTCTTTTTGCAGTCCCTCTTCCGAATTTCTCTCTTGGTTTGTCCCTCTCTTCTCTCTTTTAGTCTCATTCCTTTATTTCTCTTTTCTGTCTCTCTTCCCCATTTTTATCTTTGTATGTCCCTCTCTTATCCTCTCTCTTAGTCTCTCTCCTTTATTTCTCTTTTATCCTATCTCTCCCTTAGTTTCTCTCCACTATTTCTCTATTCTCTCTCTTAGTCGCTTTCTTTCATTTATCTATTAGTCTATCCTTCTCTTAGTCTGTCCCACTCTTCTCTGTCTCGTTCCCCTTCTTATTACCTCTTTCTCCTTTCATTTTTTCCATTTCTAGATAATTCATCAAGTTTCTCATTATTTCATACATATCTGGTCATTCTTACATATTATTTGTTTTAGTCCAATCTGTCTGTCATCCTCTTTTAGTTTTTCTCTCTCTCTCTACTTATGATCTCTTCAAAATTAAATTCTACCAAGTCTTTTTCTCCCTCCACCCTTCTCTCATTTCTCCGATACTTACCACTTGCAGCAAACCAACATTTGAGGTGTCTCCCTCCTGTTCGAAAGGTCGCGCCTTCTTCAGACTCCTGCCCAGCTTGTCGAGGCAATCGCACACCTCCACCAAGTTCTTATTTTTCCACTTGAACACCTTCTCGATGTAGCTTCTCCGCGTGAGACGGTACTGATTGAGGAGGAACGCCATTGCGTACCTCACGTCGTTCTCATCGACATCGTCAGCGAGAGCGAGTTTTCTTTTGGGGTCGGAAAATAAAGTCACCGGGTCTGGAACAGCTTCCAGATACTTATCGACGTTGAATCTGGTTTTGTAGATTGCCAGCTCGTCGTTTTCTTTTTTCGATCTGGAAAATGTGAATTTTGTATTTCTTTGTTGCGACTGCAAAAGCACTATTTTGTTCAGGAATACTTGGTTTATCATGTAACTATTCATTCTGGGTAATTTCGAATGAAACTAGTGCATCAATCATAAATACAAACTGTACTTTGGAATTATAGAGATAAATTTATCGTAACACCTATTCTGAGACATTCATTAATGTTTCAAGCAGGAGTACGTCTGTAATTTTTATTAAGATAAATACTTATAGTTGTCTTACTTCAGATAGTCCTGCATGGTAGGATAGTCATGTTTTTCGACAGCATTTTGTACAAACTCGCTCAGAGCTTGTGGAGGCAACAAAGCAAATTTACGAGCTTCTTTCTCTAAATACGAAGGGTCTGCATCTGGGAAAGTATCTTTCAACTCCATCCAAATTGTGATGGGATCTACTTGAACCTTTTCGTAACCATCTGAAAATAATTAATAATATAAATAAGTAGTTTCTACTTTGAACTAGACTGTGCTACAAAAATAAATGTAATTTCACGATCACCTACTTGTGAAAGTATACTCAAGAATATTCAGAAGGAAAAGAGATCTTCGAGATCTATAGATAAAATATTTCATTCATTATTTTGTCACAACAGGTATTCTTCTAGTTCTAGGGGAATTTGCAGATTCCTCAATACTATTTATTGATCGTGCTAAGGTAGAGAAAATAACAGGATTTAAACTCACCCTGATTGAACTCTTCCATGGCCCTATCTAAACTGAAACTTGGGGGTTTCTCTTGACAATAGTCAGAAAGAAATTGTGGATCACAATCCGGATATATTAAAGCTAGACTCCGCTTCAGTTCTTCATTAACTGATGTTTCTACAGTTGGCACTATTTGCGGAATGGGGCCTTGCGCTCCATCACCTAAAAGTCGAATACCTAAAGAGTGATGGAATTTGAAATTGAAAATATTGATTTGATATTTTTTTAAAGAGATTATTCCATGGGAAACATACTTACTATTGATACTGGTAAAAAAATCCACCAGTAAAGCCTACATTCAAATATATGAACATTGAATTACATAGAAATTATTTTCTCGCTTTCACACGAGAATGAATGGTTTCCGTACAAATAATCAGTATTCTTACATTCGAAAGTGAAATACAATTCTAACCTAATCTCATATGGAGTTCTTCAAAAACTTATCTTACTTAACCTAACTTACCTACCCGACAATAAATTGATCATATTTTCTATTTTTCCTTCTTGACTGTCTAGAGGGTTTTGTTCTTCCACTATCATTATGATGTCTCTTATATTTTCTAAAGGAATCTGCGGGAATATTTCACCCAGCATCCTTTCGAAATTAATTTCTGTGGGATCTTCCTCTTCCATTACAAACTAAAAGGAACTTGCAAGTATCTGAAAGGAATAGAAGGTATACTGAAAAATAAGTCTTATTGAAGGTTATGTTTTATATGTGCAAAATTATTATACTGTTACCCTTTCTTTTGTTAAATGCACATGAATAAGAACAATTGAATTTTAAATTTGAAATAGAAACATCTAAATTAACATAAGGTTCAAATATCAAGTGTATTTTTGTTCTCATACTTACGTAGCGTAAAGACAAAAACAAAAGAACAACACTGGTAAATATTAATTATCCAGTTATGGCACTGTTATTCAAAAAAGGGGAAAATACAGCTGATAACTTTTTGTAACTAATAACTCTCCGGAAAAACCCTGTTACTGTTACAACAAAACACAAACTCTCTGTACTTCACTAAACTTCGTCTTCATGTTCTTCATAGAAATCATAGATCGTAGTTTCCGTTCCGTTTTTTTTTTTAATGTCAAAATATTGAACTTGCGTCTAGAGACAGCAATCGCCTGGAACAACATCATGGGCAGGCAAAATCATTGATATTTATGATTTAAAATAGAACCTTGAATATTATTTCAAACTGTTTGATAAAATATGAAATTCTTTTTTCAATGTAGTAGTCATTTACTCCAAATTCAATAAGGCGGAAATATGACGTCTCCTATGGATATAATGTCAAAAAACTTGATGTGGTGAGAACGGAAGACAAAGTTTGCTCAGTTTTCCGACGTTTCGGAAAATAACCTTTCTCCGTTCTCAAAACACAAAAGTTCACCTTAAAACTCTCCATTAACTCTGAAATGATCCATTTTCACTGAGCTATTTGAAATACAATTCAAAAATACGCTCCGCTATCTCCGATCCTGTTATCTGTTTTCTCATTATATATTCACAATGCCATTTATTCTCACATCTAAGGGTTTAAAAGTTTTACCTTTATAACTTTTTCCACAAAAACAAGGTAGGTATATTGTAAAATGTAAAGGTAATGAAGAGAGCATGTTGAAAAATATTTTTGTACGTACATCATGTGTCGTAAAAGTTTTTGACAAAAATCAAAGAATATATTCGTATACATCTTGATCTCTCAGAGACTGGTATTTTGGCTCTACTTCGAACCTGTTCCAGATGCCATTCCGGAAAGAAGAAGAAGAAGAAGTAAGGATTCCAAAAGTAATGTTTACTTCAAGAAAAAACTTTGACAATAATAAGAAAGTATCTCAAAAAAGATATAGAAAAGATAAGGCATTTGTTCATATGAAGGTTTTATTAAGAATAGACACAAAAAATAAACTACTTAAATATATTATTGTGTTTTTAGGAAATATCTTGTATGCTGTTCAAGACATAGTTTGGTTGCAATGTGTTATTTGAATTAATAACACGTTATATGATTGGTATACATTTTATATTGTTAAGCCCAAATTCAATTATAAGATGAAATCCTACAACATTTTTGAAATGTCGACTTAGCTCTCGTATCTTCCCAAGTAGGCATTGCACTTTGGACAGTAATGGGTACGGCCCTGACAAGAGTCGATACAGTATGGTATCCAGACGCACATGAGACCTCTGAAAGAAAAAAAACACTGTAAATATCTGGAACTTAAAAAAGTAGTATACGCGGCAAACATTTGAAAACTTGCACACGAATGAATTGGAAGCAAACATGCCTTATGTACCTAACCTCAAAAAATGGTCACACATGTTGAAGTAGAAAATCAAAGCTCAAAAAAAAGAAGAAGAAGAAGAAATGGAAAAACAAAATTGACAAAAATCTTACCCCAAAATGCATAAGCAGACAGCCCAAAGATGTGTTGCAGTTGTAGGCTCCGTCTTCACGTTTGTAGTTATTTGCTCACGACAATATGGGCACTTAAACGAAGCCGGTTCTGGTCCGAAAGTGATCCTTACAATTTTCTTAACAACTGGAAATAAGAAAATATTGTTAAAAATTCGCGCTGCTACTAATGGATGCGATACCGTTTTCGGAGTGCCCCAAGAATGCGATCTTGGACCTGCCTCATTCTTGATTTGTTCAAATGATTTAGACAAAGACGATAATTTGATATTAGATATAACAGGAATTTATAAATTGTCGTGTGGCTCATCTCTAATGCTCCACATAGATCAAACTGGAAGGACATTTGAAGCACGCGTGAAAGAACACTGAAACAGTTACAGCTACTCACCTCTTACAGATGGACATTAATACAATCATGAATTGAAAACTCCCCTAGGATAATTAATACGTAATGATCAATAATTTATTGACCAGTTTTCACTTGTTTTCACCTGCACTCTAATTGAAACTCTCTTTTTTTACTTCAGATCCCTTGGAAGTAATGAGTCTTCTAACAGGAACTTCTGAACTTTGGCAGGGACTTCTGAACTTTGACAATCGATAACGGCCATCTTGTTAAAGCAACATCTGAAGTTGTCATTCATTCAGTCTGTTTCTAGCATACAACAACAAGTGCAAATGATAAAATAGGTTTATCAAAATGGGTGTTCTGTTCGGGCATCGTACCGCGCGCTTCCCTCAATTTTACGGTCGTTCTAGCGAGAGGACCATTCACAATGTGGTGGATGAAGTTGAGTCAACTGATTCATTAAAAGTCGACCAACACCTGGGTTGTTTTTGTCCAATACTCATTTTCAAGATTTTTTTTATATGTATTCTACTTCATAGTCTTTTCATAGCGTTTATTACCTGTTTTAGTTTGTTTGGTATCCTCGTCCACAGGTGGAGAAGGAGACAAATCCGAGTAGGGTGGAGGAAGAGAACACACTTGTGGAGGTTCTTGTGATGCTGGTTCCTGAGATAGAACTTCTTGTGGCGAAGATTCTTGAGGTGGAGACTTTTGTGGTAGAGGCTCTTGAGGTAGCGAATTCTCTGCTTTCATTCTGAAAAATAGAACAATTCAAATGAATTATTTATATGCAGTGGGGCTACAATGTAGATATACCTATAAGTAAACTTTAAAGCTATAAGAACCCGTGGGTTGGGCTACCTATCGGGCGCGTCCCTAGGTGTCGGATAGGGGAACGGCCAGGGGAATGGAGGTCCTGTCCGGGAAGCCAGTGTGGCCTTACGGACGGGGTCGCCGGACTCCTGGTCAGTGGCAGAAATAAGTAGGGTGAGGGGGAACTAAACCTCCCCAGAAGCCTTTGTAAAACATGCCACCGTGGACCAGCCTACCTTAGCTAAGGTGTAAGGAATCGTGCTGACAGCTGAATGGCCGCAGGGTGATATGCGGTCACGAACGATCCCCTTGAGAAACTGGGCGAAACCTCATTGTAATCAGCCTACCTCTGGTAATGCGGGGCTCTGCCAGAGGGGACCAAATCTTCCTTTGCTACTCGTGGAAACACACATGAATGAAACACACACAAAAACACAAACAACGAAAACAAAAACCAATCCCGAGGCTGGACAGAAGTGCTCGCCTCAATCTAAGGCGATGGTTGAGGATGAACAGAAATGTCCACTCCAATCTACCGTTAGGAATGCGGCGCCGAGGCCAAAAAGAGAAAGAAAGCGAAGGAAGCAGGAGTGGCAGCAACTATAAGTATTCCCTCCTTCTCTCCCACTTCACCTCCAACAGCAAGGGCACTTCCTGCGGTGGGTGCCAAGAGCTCCGCCTTGAATAAAGGCAAGGAACCGGCTGCCCCTGCAGAAAAGCTTTCTCACTTGTGCACCTCCACGGAGGGAACCCCAAGAAGGTTGAAGATTCCGCGCAACGACAGTAATGTCGCTGCACCTTCCAAAACCTCCGCGGAGCCCACCGTGAGACACCTCAAGGTTGCCAAAGTGAGTCTGTGTTCGGCGAGTCTTGGTCTACACCTGCCAATATAAAGGAGATGTATGTTAGTGACCTGTACACCTTCCTGGAAAGGACAGGATTGACGATGACCTAGGAGGACAACTCCTCAGGAGGATGTACAGTAGGTCACGTGTGGCCTAAGTGCTGTGGATCTACGCACTCACCCTCCCTACTCTACAGATACAGATACAGAAGCTATGAGAAATATCAAGTCATTAAATAGAGAATGAGTATTAAACTCTGACCACTGATGGAACGAAAAACTCAATTCGTACTCGTATAAAATAAAACTTACCTCTATTATTTCAACTTTGCGAATCAGCAAATGAATCGATTATGAAAGATTTACATTTTATGATATTACGAGATACATCTTCCCAAGCGAGAAGCATCCTCACATGATGAAAATAGTGTTCATATGGAAGTTGCCACATAAACAACTTTCCTAAATTGCAGAAGCATGACTGATGAACAAAATTAAGGTGATGACCGTGGCAAAGACCGTGTGTCATCGGTTTCATCTGACAATAACAAATTTGTCATAGCTCTGCAACTGATTGCCTTCTTTCTAAACAGGTTGCAAAGAAGATTGCTGCAAGCAGCTTCATCGAACCAGAACCTGTGGTAGGCATCGCTTTAGGCTTTCTCAAACAAAGATTGAACACCTGGCAAATTTCGATACCGCACGCACATTTTGTTTTATTAAAATTTAAAGATAGGAAGTGCTTATTGAAAGACCCAATATACTTCAGAATTTGGTCAGATAATTCAGATTTCGCAGCTAATTTTATAATCTATGCTTAGATTACATTCATTAACCTCAACAATCAATATTTGACAGGACCCGCTTTATATCAAGATCATTGACAATGGATTCTTTAAATATTGCAAACTCAATCAGTTTAGTGGAAACAGAAATTACAAAAGATAATTGTGTTTCAATTAGTGCGAGATCCAATAATTCTACTTATCTGATAATTTCATAAAACAGATGTACTCGTAATTGATTGTGTAACATACGATGATAAAATATTTTGCAATATCCTTCAGAAACAATATGTTCGTTGATGAAACGGTATTGTTTTCGATATCTACTTTATCATATAATTTGATAATACTGCAAAAAATATTTCACGAATTCAAAAGAATATAATAATTGTGAATAATTCGTTTACTGTCGAAAATAAAGATTCAAAATATAAATGAAAATGATATAAACGAACGCATTTTTTATAAAATGTTGAAAATTTCAGATACTCAATAATAATATTTTTTATGATGAATGGAATACTTACTTGGTGCGTATAATACAAACGTTATCTCAGGTTAACTTGCATTCGACTTTCATGAAAGTTTCGCATTAAATAAATAACATTCATTGAAATATGGAGGGAGGTAATCATTTTTCCTTATCAGATTGTTGTCATACACGTTTTTACTGGAAATGCACTTCCGTAATGGAAGAATATTATGTAGATTAAATACTGCGAAATGGAGGGAAACTTTTACATCAAAAATTGTGTGTAATCTTCTCAGTACCTAAGTTGGTCTTTGGGGCTGCATAAAAAAATTTGGAGACTGATAAGAGACATTCTCATGTTTCAACTTTTGGGAAAATCAGCAGTCTCATGTGATTTGCATTAGAAACATAAAAAACTAATTGATAGATTATTTAGGGTCATATAGTCAGGTTACAGATTCAAAGATTCACAGAAAACTGAAAATTGGTAAAAATGTTCAAAACTCCGTTATGAATGAAATTTGGAAAGTCTCACATCGATCTCAGTATTGCAAAAATATTATTCAAGGTCTAATTTTGTAATTTTATCATAAGTATAGGCCAGACAAAAACTGTAGATCATTCAAATATCTGAAAAAACATTCTTTTTCTCTCAAGAGTCACCGTTATTTCTTTTAACTCTGCTTCCTCTTCTTCTTGTTATCTTTCTTGTTCTTCTTCCTGTTTTCCCTATTGGTCCACTTCTTCTTGTTAAACTTCTTGTTTATCTTCTTCTTATTTTCATACTTCTTCTTGCCTTCTTGTTCTGCTTCTTGTACATCTTCTTCTTGTTCTTATATTTTTTTCTGTTCTTTAAAAATGTTTTTATACCACTTGCATTTGTAACTAACGTTACTATAAACTTATTGTATTCGTTTGAAAATATCCTTATAGGACGAAACTACAGTTCTCAAGTTCTCAAGCTATATTGTGTCATTTATTTAGTTTTTTTCCGAAGGAATTACCAATTCATGAATCCAATTAATTTTTTCACCTGAACTGTGACTTCTGAATTCAATTCAACACACCAGTGAATTTGTCCAACTCTGCTCTTCATGGATATTGTCAGTTCAGGACTATTTGATGTTATGTGTGCTCGTTAATCCGACTTCAACATTGCCTCTTGTTTTCGCTCAACTAGTACTGACCGTTCACATTGTTTCTGGAGAAGACCTTTGTTGCTAAAACGGTGATAGCATTCGTCCAATTGAACAACGACGCATTCAGCTACACCAGCATTGTGTTTGTTCGTCTCAACTCTTGTAGCTGAGTTTTTGTCAGAGAGACAAATAAGTTTCTTGACTAAGGAGATGTTGGCGTTATGAAGGTCCTCAGACATCTGTACCGCCCTTTACGGTGTACCCCTACCTGGCTGTGGTGGGATGGATGAAAAGATTGTTCATCTCTTAACGGAGATGAACAATCTTTCATCCAATCTCACTCGACAGAGTGTCGGGTCCTTCTATATCGGGAGAGGTCGTCTACAGCATAATCTATAGCTTCCCTAACCAAAGGATTTTCGTGAGTTTCCGCGCTACCAAAAACTCGCCGATTCCTCGACTGAATGGACTGCTGAATGGAAGGCAGCTGCAAATCTCTGCGGATGGCTTCAATCCGCACGAACCAAGGAGCATTCACAATCATCCGTATCAACTTATTTTGTAATCTCCCCAGGATGGAGATGTTAGACGGAGACGCTTGTCCCCAGACGCCTGAAGCGTACATGATGACAGGCTTGAACATCGTGTTGTAGATGGTAATTTTGTTTTTCAGACTCATTTTGGGTTTCCTGTTGATCAGAGACTACAGACTAACTATCCGACCCTCGATCTTTGTTTTAACGCACATAATATGCGGGTTCCAGATGAACCTACGGCCTATTGGAAGACCGAGGTACTTTACCAGCGCTTGCCAGTTAATCTCCCTTCCAGAGATCCTCACTTTTCTGGCCGGAGAAGATTTCAATAACAAAATATATGAACATTTACAAATAATGTTTACAAATGACACAGACAGTAAGCGAATTATTGCGTAACAGGATAACCCTAGTAAAAATTGTATAAAGTTCATAAACCCTAATGAACAGATTTTAAGTGGATCCAGCTTGAGGCAGGAAACTAAGATGATTATCTTAGCAGGAAACATGAAGGCCCAGTGAAAAATATTTAAGGATTTCAGTCTCGTTCTTTCCACACATCAGTTTTTAGAGGTAGACACAAATAATAATGCTATTCATATCTTTTAAGCCAGACTGGAAACATTCTGAAAATATTTCACAAAAATTTTCAAGTTACTTTTTTTTACTGCCCATTCCTAGATGTTTTCTCATTGTTGAAATAGGGATAATTTGATGTAGTAGCTGGACAGCTCAGTTATCATATTTTCCTAGGAAAGCATTGCAGTTTGGACAGTAGTGTGTTTGACTCTGGCAAGAATCCATGCAATATGGTATGCAACAGCAAGGCCAGCATCTGGAAATAGATTTGGATTAGTGGAAAAGCTACAGTACAGAAAAGTACAGTTCAATTCCGGACTGGAATCAAAATGTCGGGTTTAATTAGGTTGCGGATAGTAACTTCCGCAATACCATTAACCTCCATTCGAAACTGGAGAATCATCATAGAATATGACATAAGTGAGTGATATGACAAATGGATTACAAAGGTTGATGACAGGTAATTTCTTACGAAATGTGTATTTTCAAGGAGGTGTGGATTGAAAGTAAAAACGACCTTCTGGTCATATCAAACGCTCATTAATCCATACTGAAGCAGAGAATACAAGGCCCATAGAAACTCAGAACTGACATTTCCGTGTACCCTAAAATTTTTAGTACTCACCCTGACCACCAGAAAGCGATGGCAGTACGATGTCAGTATTTAATGTCAGTATCAACAGAATTGGGTAGCTACCCTCAGATACTTCCCCAAAAGGTGGAAGCATGCGGTCGCTGTCATGATCCCAAAACAGAGTCAGAACCTGCTGTTCCCACAGAACTATCAACCGATCAGTCTGCTCTCGTAGGCGGCTAAGCTGGCTGAAAGAGTCGTTCTCCAAAAACTCAACGAAGAAGCTGAGGACTGACGAACAATTCAGCTTCAGGAGAGATCACTCCACTGAGCTACAGGCACTGAGACTGGTCGAAAATACCATCGCAGGGCTAAATCATAATCGAAAAGGTCATTTTGTTCTTTCAGACATCTCGAAGACCTTCGACCGTGAATAGCACGAAGGTCTTCTGCAAAAACTAATCGAGTTCGACCTGCCTCGGGGCCTGATCCGGTGGATTGGGTCCTGCTGAAAGACAGAACCCTTCAGGTTAGAGTAGAGGGTTCTCTGTCTGACAACAGATATATCCTCGCTGGAGTGCCACAGGGAGATGTGCTCTCTTTCACGTTATACTCTCTCTACACCAGCGGCCTCCCGAGGTCCGAGCATGTGAAGTTGCCTCTCTACGCCGATGATACGGCTCTCCTCTCATCTTCCATTGGTCGGGAGCTCGGCGTCGTCTACATGCAACGTGCAGTGGACGACCTCGAGCGCCGGTACCTCGAATGAAAGATCCGCGTGAACCCGAACAAGACTTAGGCGATAACCATGGGAAGATTGAAATCTTCTCCGGCCAAAAAAGTGAGGATCTCTGGAAGGGAGATTGACCGGCAAGCGCGGGTAAAGTACCTCGGTCTTCTAATACTCCGTAGGTTCACCTGGAACCCGCACATTATGTGCGTTAAAACAAAGATCGAGGGTCGGATAGCTAGTCTGTATCATCTGATCAACAGGAAACCCAAAATGAGCCTGAAAAACAAAATTACCATCTACAACACGATATTCAAGCCTGTCATCATGTATGCTTCAGGCGTCTGGGGACAAACAGCTCCGTCTAACATCTCCATCCTGGAGAGATTACAAAATAAGTTGAAGATGTGCTCTCTCCCACGCTGTACTCTCTTTACACCAGCGACCTCCCGAGATCCGAGCGTGTCACGATATCCCTCTACGCCGATAACACGGCTCCCCTGTCATCTTCCATGGGTCGAGAGCTCGGTGTCGTCTACATGCAACGTGCATTGGACGACCTCGAGTGCTGGTAGCTCGATTGGAAGATCCAAGTGAACCCGGAAAAGACTAAGGCAATAACCATGGGAAGAACGATACTTCCCCCGGCCAGAAAAGTGAGGATCTCTGAAGGGAGATCGACTGGCAGGCACGGGTGAAGTACCTCGGTCTTCTAATAGACCGTAGGCTCATCTGGAATCCGCACATCACAACCGTGAAGGCAAAGATCGAGGGTCGGATCAAAAGTCTGAACCCTCTGATCAATAGACGATCCAAACTGAGCCTAAGGAACAAAATTACGATCTATAAAACGATGTTCAAACCCGTCATCATGTTTGCTTCCGTGGTTCGTGCGGAATGAAGCCATCCACAGAGATTTGCAGCTGCCTGCCATCAAGCAGTCCATTCAGTCGAGGAATCAGCGAGGTTTCAATTGTGCAGAAACTCACGAAAACCCGAAGCTATTGATTATATTGTAGACGACCCCTCCCGATACAGAAGGCCCCGACACTCTGTCGAATGAAGCCCTCATGTCCCCCGTTAATGGACGAACAATTTTTCATCCAACCCACCCCAGCCAGGTAGGGGTACACCGTGAAGGGCGGTACTGATGTCTAAGAACTGTCATACCGCCACCATCCTTCAGTCATGAACCTATTTGTCCTTCTGACGAAAATCAGCCGGAAGGGTAAGGGAACTAGACTCCAACCTGTCTAAATTTAAGATGGTTGTCGATTGGGTAGCTAACAGTCGCTGACAACTAGTCGGTCGGATAACATTGAAGTCGGGATGCACGCCAAAATTAAATTGAATTAAAAGGGCGACTGGTTTGTCAGCGACTGCTACCCAGTTCTGTTGGTAATCACATTGAATACCGACATGGTACTAGTTTCGCTCTCTGGTGGTCAAGGTAAGTACTAAAAAATTTAGGAAGCACAAAGACGCCAGTTCTAAGCTTTTATGGGCTTTTTGTAAAGAAGGAAGCCAACGTTGAAACAGAATCTTTCTGTTTTCTGAAAGAGCTACCTAGAGGAAGAATTTCGGCAATGTTGCATGAACCAAGACGATGTCATCTACCATTACAAAATCGCCATCCATGGGATCGAAAGAAGACTCAGCACACGTATGAGATTAGTCCTCTATCCTTCACTGCAAGGCAACTATTTTAATTGAAATCAGAGCCCAAAAAAGTATGCTTGATGTAGTGGATTTTGATTAATTGATTTTTGATGACACTAAAAGAAATGATTAATTTTCCTACTGCTTCTGAGTATATAAGCGGCTTCGCTCGAATTCAGACAGCAAAATGATAAGAGCAAAAAAAAAGATCCTGAAGTCTCTCAGTGAAGTATTAATTAATGGAGTCTGAATATATGGTTTGTTTTGTTGAATAAAAACGCTAATATCAGGTGAGCCGAAAAGTTCGTAAGATGACACACAGATGGCCTAGTAGTGCTACTCAACCCTAACTTTCAAAAGACACGTGTACAAATTTCACAGCTGTCGGACTATTAGTTTCTGGGATAGAACATTTTGAGTGAGGCAACTTTTGTTACTTTGAAGGATTGCATAAAAAGGAATTTCTTGTGTTGATATTGACGAAAAAAAAAACTGATGTCCACAAAATAATTTTCGATGATCTCAAAGTGAAGTCGACCGAGATAGGTGAGATTAAACAGATATCAAAGGAACGCGTTGGACATATCGTGCATCAATATTTGGGTATGCGAAAGTTCTGTTCAAAGTGGGTTCCGCGCAAGCTTACAATCGACCAAAAACAACAACGAATTGATGATTCTGAGCAGTGTTTGAAGCTGTTCCACCATAAAAAAAAACTATATTTGACAACGGATGAAACATGGCTCCATTTGTTAGAGGTATATTAATTGAATAAAAACCCTAATATCAGGTTCGTAAGACACGTATACAAATTTCACAGCAGTCGGACTATTAGTTTGTGGGATAGAAAATTTTGAGTGAGGCAACTTTTGTTAGTTTAAAGGAAATGCATAGAAAGGAATTTGATAAAGCATTGTCTTTTGACGAAAAAAAAATACTGATGAAGCCAAGGGTTGGCTTGATAAATATTATTCGAACTCTGCACCAGGAAAATTGAGCGTTGAGAAGTGGTTTGTTAAGTTCAAAACAGGTGAAATGAGGACCGAGGACAAAACCATGAAAAATTCCACAGAATAATTTTCGATGACCTCAAAGTGAAGTCCATCGAGATAGCTGAGGCTCTAAAAATTCAAAGGAACGCGTTCGGCATATTGTGCATGAATATTTAGGTATGGAAAAGCTCTAGTGTTTGGAGCTGTTCCACCATAAAAAACGTTATTTGACAATGGATGAAACATGGCTCCATTTGTTAGAGGTATATTCAAATATGTTGTGATACGACTTTCAGACATACTTACGCAAAAAGACAAAGTAGCAATGCAAACAGGTGAGTTTTTGTTGTGGCTTCCGTCTGGACAGTCGAAGTTATTTGAGCATGGCAAGAAGGACATACCATAGTAGTGGGTTTGGGCCCCAACATCATTGGAAGTACAGCTTGATGAACTATAACTGAAAGTTGAAAAAAAATTAATGGGAGTGGCAGTGAACGAAGTTAGACGTCATCATAACCAAAATATTCTAGCTTGCCTGGCTTCCGAAGATGTCAACAATCGAAAAGCCAAGGTAGCGGTGAATTGGTGGATTTGAATTCCCCTGAGACCCCACACAATATCCATGAGAAAATCAATTGAAAGAATGCCTAGTTGGTGTAGTTTAACTTGAGGATATCGTAGACCAACTGGTACAAATAGATTCAAAGGAGCCATTCAAAACACAGAACAACTATGAGATGTCATATGTGAAACAGTTGCCTTATCGCAATATCATTATACTATACTCATAAAAACTCGTATAAACCACTTCAGACCTGTTCTGCAATTACACTCATTTTCAATTCAAATATTGGGAGTAGCTGTGGGACACTTTGGAGTCGGGAGCTGTCATAGTCGTTGGAGGACGTCGAAAAACATAAAAAAGCATTTAGGAACCGCCAAAAAGCGTTTAAGAGATGTTTGAAATAGTTCAATAACGTCGACGAGATTTTTTGACGCTATTTGACACTTACTAAATGCTTTTTGACGTGTTTCAGACGCTTTTTGACAGTACTCGGTCGCCTTTATAACGGTTTTCAGATGTTTCTCGACAACCGCTAACGACATTGACAGCTGACAGACCCCCACCCCAATTTAAAGTGTACCAAAGGTCCCCATTACCTACTATTGAGTAGCAAAACAATTTTGGCATTCGATGTAACTTTAAAATCACGAAGGACCAATTTGATCACCCTTTCCGAAGCATACTTCACCTGTGTTAGATTGAGGCATCTGTTGCTGTGGTGGCTGCTGAGGTAAGGGAGGGTACATGGAATTTCCAGGAGGCGCATTGAAGCCTGGTTGCGGTGGCGAATAAGCTGGCGGGTTGCCTTTCTCCATTCTGTAACAAAAATTGGAAATAAATGTATTAGTATTACAAAATGGTAATAAGAATAGAATCGCAACTTCTCAAGAAAAACAATAATTCAAGCCATTTTTGTTGGATTTTAATCTCTGTAGATTATAATAATTGGTGATGATATTGGCAAGTTCATCAATATATCTTCAAATTGAATAGTTTTCAAAAAATGTAATTGGGGGTTGAACCTAGAATGAATGACCTGCTTGCTCCAAGTGGCTATGTCAATTTTATACTTTCTATGAATGTAGGAGGAGTCAAATCCTCAACTGTGTCTCTGTTTGTTATATTTCTACCACATTCGAACGTTTAGGAAAACCCGACATCAGGGCCAGCAGTGAATTTTACTCGGTTTATTTTTGTTTGAAAGTAACATCAGGTTGAAAAGAACAAAGTCGAATGGAAGCTGAAGTACCAGACGTGTCTGCTATTACACCAGACATCATCAGAGGTATATGCGTTAACCGCGAAGGATCAGCAACGACTGACTGACGAGCTCCATGTTCACTCGTATTTATGATTTCAGAGGTTGATGGAGGTGATAAGAGGATAGTGGTGTGAACGATGATGGGGATGGTGGTGACGGTGATAATGGAAATGGTGGTGAGGGCGGTGATGTAAATTGTGGTAAAAGCGATGTCGGATCAGCAACGACTGGCTGACGAGCTCCGTGTTCACTCGTATTTATGAGAGGTTGATGGAGGTGATGAGAGGATAGTGGTGGGATGGGGATGGGATGAGGGATGGGGATGGTGGGTAGGGCGATAATGGAAAAGGTGGTGAGGGCGGTGATGTAAATGGTGGTAGGGACGATGTTAAATCAGCAACGACTGACTGACGAGCTCCGTGTTCACTCGTATGTATGATTTCAGAGGTTGATGGAGGTGATAAGAGGATAGTGGTGGAAGCGATGATGAGGATGATAATGAGGGTGATAATGGAAATGTTGGTGAGGGCGGGGATATAAATGGTGGTAGGGGCGATGTTGAATAAGCAACGACTGACTGATGAGCTCCGTGCTCACTCGTATTTATGATTTCAGAAGTTGATGGAGGTGATGAGAGGATAGTGGTGGGAGCAATGATGGGGATGGTGGTGAGGGCAATGAGGGAAATGTATCACAAGTTATCAATTCTCAAGTTGGACTGATATATTACTCCTAAATTATAACATTTGATAACCTAGAAATATTAGCTAATACGCTCGTTTCAGACAATTGATTCTAGATTAGATTTAACTACAGGAAATAGGGAATATAATCCTCAATACTGTAGCAAACCAGGTAAAAACAAGTCAATTAATTAATGAGTATTACATATTACTTATTCTAGGGACTGGATTAATTACGATTATCTGGTTAGAACAAGTTCGGCAAAGGAGACTCATTTAAATCAATCTGATCGTTCAGGTAAAAGTTTTATGTTTCAATTGAATGTTTAGCGAAGTTCCACAGCGACAAAGCAGAATTTTGCGTCGATTCATAGCTATGGATGAAACATGGGTCCATCACTTTATACCCGAAGTAAAAGAACAATCAAAACAGTGGATTCAAAAGAGATAAACAGGTCCAAAGAAGGCGAAGATCATTACAACTGCAGGCAAGGTCATGACATCGGTTTTTGGGGTGTGCGTGGGTAATTTTCCAACGATGAAGAAGTGGTGTCGGCATTTAATAGCAATTTTGATAAGCAAGACAGCTCTTATTATAAAAAATGGTCTCGAACTTATTGAACGTCCATGGGAAAAGTGTAGAGCTGCAGGGAGATTATGTTGAAAAATAATTACATTTTTTTCCAACATTTTTGTGTTGGCTTTGTTGGGTTGGGTACTTCTGGAACCACCCTCGTAGAAGATAAAATATAATATTCACTTATTTTTTTGTAGTTCATGAACACTACGTTACGTGCTAAGCATAATTTGATTTTGCGTACTTTGACAAGTAAAAGGCGATTTCCAAAGTAAGCCGAACTTCCCATGGAATATATAAAAAAATCGACTTACGAGACGTAAACAATGCAGACAGAAGTTCACAGCAAACTGCTGAGGTTCACGCAAAACACAAATAAATTAATTGAGGTCATGATCAATATATGGGTGTGGGTGCATATATTTTAGGAATCAATAAATAGCTACGTATAAGAAGATAATGGATGATAAATGAGCAGACTAAAAGTGAACCATCATATCTGTTTCGTGGATGAACAAGAATAAACTATATACCGAACGGTTTGGCTGCTCTATAATGATTCCTCCCGAGTTGCAGTATATTCCTTTTCAAATATATTTTTTAGAATGAAACCATGCAAAAATTTTATTCGTATTAAATGCACTGACAGTCCAAAAAACTGATACACCAAAATTTTGTTACTTTTAAAAATTGCAATTTTCAATACACCCTGTGGATTTCACCAGCAATCTATGGAATTCGTTTTTCAATAAACCTTTGAAGTTAACTTCCTCTTACGGTTTGGCATTCGAATCGTGTCTCTATTTCAGTTGGTTCAAGAGATAGAGGCTTCAGAATTCTCGATTACTCCTTGGAGAATCGAAATTTGAACAAATCAAGCATTCTTATTTCAGTATGTGCATACAAGAAAAATACTTTTGTTTTCTGTAGCAATAGCAATAGGCTATATCTTTTGAATCAAATAAGATGGAGACGTGATTCAAAAATCATGCAGTGATAGTGACTTTACTCAACAGGTTGATTGGAATATTTATCCCAGTCCCACACATTGAAACACAGGCAAACAGACAAAATACACTAAAATCATGTCAAATATTTACATTAACATACATTAAAATACAGGCAACCAGACGAAATACTCTGAAAATGATGTCAAGTTTTGGCATGTCTGATAATTACATTAACACATACATTAAAATACAGGCGAACAGACAAAATACTCTAAAAATCAGGTAAAGTTATGGCATATCTCATAATCACATTATCATACACATTAAAACACAGACAAACAGACAAAATACTATAAAAATAATCTCAAGTTATGGCATATCTCATCTTTACATACACACATATATTAAAACGCAAGCAACCACACAAAATACTCTAAAAAATTATATCAAGTTATGGCATGTCTCATAATTACATTAACACATACATTAAAACATAGACAANCATGCATGGACAATGCAATATATCTCAGAAAATATATATCATATAATGGGTTTATGATCAGAAGGGACGGCTGTCGAAGCTCTCTGTTGAAAGATGTCCTACTTTTTATATGTATTGATTTATATATGGACGTGTCCTGTATCATGTGCGTGATTACATTATTATTATTTTTGCTATTATTACTCATGATAATAATAAAAAATCTTTCGACATTATTATTTACATTTGTTGGTTATTTGGACGAGCGGTTTCAGTCGAATGACTAAAAAGTATATTTATACGAAAAAGTTCCCTTCACAGTCCCTTTCAATCACTCACAGAGAGATTTATCATTATCTTTCATTTCTATTACAATTATTTTATGACCAATGTTCATTGGATCTGAGTCTAGGAAGACAGAGTTAATGCTTTCTGCCTTTATTCTGCCAAGATTTATGCCCTATTGCGACCAGCCAATCTTATTTTCATTGTCAATAGTTTATTATTATTATGAACAAATCAGAGATGTGGGAGAGTGCATAATTCTTATAACAATAACTGCACATTTTTGCTATTTATTGTGTACTGTTGAATAGTAGAAAATATCTACTTTGCATGTTTCTAACAAGCATATTCAAAATCTTTATGACTGTAATATGAGAAAAATAACCTGTGTATGAATCACGATGATGAAATTCAGGCAATTATGATAAACTCTAATCACTGTTTGAGTATTAAAGATAACCATGATTAGCACACGTTACTAACTAACTTTGAATGACTTACTTCTCCCTAACATCAAAATATTTATTTCTCTTCAGTCAATATTTGAAACATTTATCCTCTTATCTCTATCCTATTTATGAGTATTTGATTGGGTGCTTTCTCTTCCAACTACTTAAATCTTCAGGAATGTTTGTATGTGGCGACCTCTTAAAAAATTTGTCTGTCTCATGAATGAGTAATTTTTTTCAACTGAACTTAAGTTTAATTTTAGTACTATTTCGGGAGAACACAAGATCTTTCAATAAAAGCCACAGATGTGCAATTAGCTCACTCAGTATAAGATTTTTTAGTTCTGTTTGTACCATTTCAAATACTTTGCAATCCAGAATCTGCTCTTCTGTAAAAGTCTCTTCAGTGAAAGTAGCTAGCTAGTGAAGATGCAAAGAATCGAAAAGTTTGAGAGGGTCGGGACCCGAAAAAAGTAACACTCTATAGAATGTGTTTGGTACTTTTTGAAAACCGGCTTATGGACATCGATAACAAAAGGTGTTGTACCAAGTTTGAACTTGATACCTTGAGAAACATGCAATGTCTGTAATAAAATCTAAGAATTGAAAGTTTAATATGAAATTCATAATAGTTTTCTTCTCAGAAACGCCATAAAACTAGTCACTTGAATATTTTTTATATGGCACAGTCATAGGACATTTTGAAATACCATGTATAGTGGGACTTTTTTTGGCAGAAGCAGCGACAGTTCTCAAAAATGTCATTTGAGTTGTCACAAGTTTGCTAAAAATTGTAGGACATATGAGGACAATGATATAAGGTTGTTTTAATAAAAGTTTTGTCCGTTTTTATGAGTCCACTCTAAACTTTAATGTCTCAGTGAATAATTGCCCCGCATTTGTTTGGAATGATCGACTATTCTTTAGCTACGGAAAATTTTTCTCATACACTGAGCAAACCGACATTTTGAAAAAATAACGTTTATATACTTAGTTCCGATAAGATAATGTGTCGGTTTTATCTTCTTATCAACGTATCAATTCTGGAAAATACTATTTCTCAAGCTTGAAAAACAAACGTGTGCACAGTAATTCAATAGGCTTCCTAGATAACAATTCTGGGAAATTCCTTCACCTCGTTTCCGCAAAAATCAAAATTTGTTTCAAGTTCTCTACTGCATCGTTTTATGTTTCGCTTAACTTCAGTTTTCAATTCACGGTTTTTCTATTTTCAATTGTAGGTATCAATCGAAGTTACTTTTTCATTTTGTCATACTACTATGTTATGTACTATTAATATTTCTATACAATAATATTATATGCCACATGCAAAATAATTGAACAATGTGTAAATTGCTTGTGCAGAATTCAATAACAATCAATAATGCAATAAAATCAAACAAAAATACAAAAACTGATATACTTTTTTGTATTTTTTTTTCGTCAATAGTGCTTTGTAAAAGACCACCTCTCAAATACCAGGGTGCTGTTCAAAGAAAGTGGTATTTACAACTTTTACAAACATACGGTCTAAGCGAAGCTCTCTGGCTTACAGAGACAGACTTGTCTGGCCATCAGTGGTGCCAACAGTACCACAGCGTCAGCGCCATGGAGATCCTTCTAGATCTACCTCCTCTCCACATTCTTCTGAAGAGAGAGGCTAGATGAACTGCATACAGACTGTTGGTCTGTTGCACAGCAATTCTGGGAATGACCTCTGACTTTATGCTTCCAACTGTTAACTACGAACTGTCTTATAAAGTAGAGACCGTGAGGCGCTTCAAACTCGCAACGGTCTCGACGCGGCTGTGGCAGATTTCGAATTGTCTGTGAACAACGCTTTCCGCGCAGCCACAACCAGAACGGAGTGTCCTCTGCGGAGCTACAATGAGTTTCCTCCCAGGATAAAGAACCTTCTCCGGGAGAGAAATCGACTCAGACGAGTTTATCAGCGGACTCTCTACCCTGGAGACAAGGCTGCGGCTAGCAGGATGGCCAACCAGGTTGAACAGGCCATCACTGACTATAGAAACGAGAGGTGGAGCGAGTGTTTGGAATCGCTCGAACCTGGGCCGCCGGCTCGAGAAGAGGAAAACCTCCCTCCCCTCTTCACGGCCTTTGCAGACACAATGAAGAGTCAGTTTCGACTTACCGTTGATCCGGATGATGATATTGACCGTGATATCCGGCTGGAACACCGGGTGTGGCGCCTCCTTAGGGAAAATGATGACGACGTGATCCGTCCAGCTTCGGAGGAAGAACTGAGGGGGTACATTAGGACCTCCAAACCCAAGAAGGCTCCGGGAATTGATTCAATCAACAAGAGGTTGTTGAAGCAGCTCCCGGAGAACTTCATCAGATACCTGCTGGACATTATCAACAGCTCAATCACTCTCAGATACTGCCCTCGAAGATGGAAGCATGCCGTAGTTGTCATGATTCCGAAACAGGGCCAGAACCCGCTGTTTCCCCAGAATCATCGTCCGATTAGTCTGGGTTGCTAAACGGCTAAGTTGGCTGAACGTTTGTGCTGCAAAGGCTAACAGAAGAAGTTGAAGACCGAAATGTTCTGCCTGACGAACAATTCGACTTCAGGAGGGCACACTCCACCGAACTGCAGGCCCTGAGACTGGTCGAAAATTCCATATCAGAGCTAAACAACAGGAAAACAGTCCATCTCGTCCTCCTGGATATTTAGAAAGCCTTCGACTGAGTCTGGCGCGAAGGCCTGCCACACAAAATGCTAGATTTCGATCTGCCTCGGGGTCTGGTCCGGTGGATTAGGTCCTTTCTGAAAGGCAGAACATTTCAGGTCCGAGTTGAAGGAATCCTGTCTCCCGTCAGGGAAATCGAAGCTGGAGTGCCTCAGGGAACTGTGCTGTCTCCACTACTGTACAGCCTTTACGTGAACGACCTTACGAGGTTCGATGACGTGAAGGTTTCCCTTTACGCCGATGATACGGCTCTCTTCGCTTCTTCCATGGGTCGGGCGTTGGCGGTCGTCTACATGCAACGCGCATTGGACGACCTCAAACGCTGGTACCTTGACTGGAAGATTCGAGTGAATCCAGAAAAAACTTGGGCGATAGACTTGGGGAGACGTAAAGTTTCTCCAGACTCAAGGGTCACGATTTCAGACAGGGAGATCGAATGGCAAACGCGAGTCAAGCACCTAGGTCTTTGAGTAGACCGCCGACTCACCTGGGCAAATCACATCGATTATATCAAGAGCAAAGTGCAGATGAGGATAGCTAAACTCTATCCTATGGTCAATAGAAATTCAAAACTCAATCTTAAAAATAAGATTTTACTATACAACACGATGTTCAAGCCTGTCATCATGTATGCTTCAGGTGCTTGGGGACAAACCGCCCCCGTCAAACCTCTCCATTTTCGAAAGGTTGCAAAACAAACTTCTCAGGATGCTGGTGAATGCTCCATGTTTCGTGCGGAATGAAGCCATCCGCAGATATTTGAAGCTGTTAACTATATGGCAGTCCATTCAGTCGAGGAAGGCCCTAACCTAAACATACTAGTTAATACTAAAAAAAAGTCCTGACAAATATCTTGACTTTTATTTTTGATTTTATACCACAAGATTAATTATATATGTACTTTTGCGTCATTTTTTCCAATTTTCGTTGTTATTGAGGGACTATAAATTTATATTCCTAAAATTCTCAATTCAAATACATTGAAACTACATCGTAATATTTTGTCTGTCCTCATTGCGGCCCTGGCAAAAAAATTCAATTCGCGTGTTTTGGAATTAGAACATAGCTCAGTTGACATCTACAGTTAAATGTCCGAAAAAATATGACAGACTGACACCGTTGATGTTTGAAACAGTGAAAACTGAGTTACAAACAAAACTGAGTTTTATCTTCGCATCAAAGTTCATATAACATCAAAATGGTATCTGTTGCGTAGTACGAAATGTATACCTTCTTTGACTCAGCCTACGATATGGGACATTTTCCCCGAGTATTTCCCACTCTCACCTCTCCCAATACTCGTGAATGAAAGGGCCTTAGACCTGAGAACCATGTGCGCTGAGTACTACTCGTTATATTTCATTCTACACGCGATGGCGAAACAGATTTTTAATAAATACGGTGGGGTACATTGAATTTCAATTATGGAAAAACGGAGTATGACTAACCTGTGTTGTAATCGCTTGAAGTAATTCACTAACTTCCACCGCAGTTCACGAACGACTGAGTTGTTTATTTTCCCTTTCTCCTGACTCTTGATTAGACTTGCATAGAACAAATTCAACCAATAGCTGATGCGCGTATGACTTTGAAACTTGTGACACAAACATATTTCTGGGAACTCATAAAACTTACTGATAACCGAAAACTGATAGATATCTTGTTCTACATGAAATTATTATTGAACTCTCTATATCAACTATATAGAGGTATTCATTACCAAGGCTATTTGTGATGAAAAATCAACCTAAATTTTGATGAATCACTTATTATTATGACCACTTGAAATATCTACTGGCTTGAGATCAGGACTGAGTGCTGGCTACTTTGAGTTGCTATGTAGCTCTGATGATACTACACGACAAATGAAAGCAGAAAACAGATATGACGAAACGTACGAATTTACAATTTGTTCACCATAGTAAGAGTCAAGTGAAAAAAACTGAGATGTTTGCAAAACAATAACAAAAATGTAGATAGAGAATGTAGATTACGATGTTTTTTTTCAAGGACAGAACACAAGCACTATAGCACTAGCACTATTGGCACATGAAAACCTATTCGTGATAAAAGTATAGAGCGCCCGACTCACGATCGGAAGACCGTGGTTTCGATTCCCGCCTCGACCAGATATTTTTTTCGAGAGAATTTATCTGGTTGAAGCTGGAATGATTCTGCAACCGTGTGTCAGGAACCTCTATACCCGTCACGCGACTGCGGTAGACTAAGGTATTGAAGACACCATCCTGGCAAGACATGATGAACCCCTCAGTTTCCGACTTCAGCCCACTCGACCTGAGAAAAGCGAAGGTCAGGCGCTTTGATAAGCCTGATCTCCAATGTTATTGAAGAAGACACCATGCATTGGCTTATCCTTGTGTTTCTGCAGAATCAAAGTGATCTCTGCGGCTTTCATCTGAGCTTTTTGCTGAACTGGTTCCAAATCGGTGACAGAGTTGTGGTTGCCTCGTTCAGTGTCGAAAACTATACCGAGTTCATCAGCTGCTCGGGCAGCTGCCCTAAAGAGAAAAGCTCAAATTCCTGCTCTCTCATGGTCACGGACCATGCAGAGAAGGGGATCCGAACTCCTGACGACTTTACAGGCTGTATCCAGTACCATTCTGTCATGTATTTACTCAAAACTCAGAAGTCCACGGCCTCCCTGTTGTCGGAGGAAGTACAACCATGGAACGGACGATTTGGGATGCAAACTCCTATAGAGATGCATACTTTTTTGGGTTTTTACGTACGCCAAAGTGGTATCAGTTGTTCAATGCATCTCACTATGTTGTCGGGTACCGCAAGGCATCTGAGCAAATGCAAGATGAATTCATGCGAAATTGTATCAAATGCCTTAAGGTAATCGATCCAGGCCATAAAGAGGTTACGCTTATATTGTATCGCGTCCTGCGATACACATCTATTGATGAGCAGGTTCTCTTTACATCCAGCGACTCCTCTCTTCGACCCTCTCTGCTCATATATCCGTTCGAATACTCGGTCAACTGCGGTGAGAATTTGTGTGTATAAGATGCTTGTAAACAACTTATAACACGAATTCAAGCATGTTATCGGTCTGCAATTCTTAGGAATCGACAAATCTCCGCTTTTGAGGATAAGAACGGCCCGCCCCTCAACAAACCAATCCGGAATCGGCTGCTCTCCGTCCAGCCATGAGTTGGAAACTCTGGCCAGATGGCGGTGGGTGCTTGGTAGTTTCATCACCAATAAGTGTTCAGCCCATCTGGGCATGGAGCAGCAAAGTTCTTGGAACCAACAAGGGCCCTTCGAACGTCATCCGGGGTTATCGGGTTGCGCAGTTCATTGAGCTCAGGCTGTCGAAGCTCTCTGTTGAAAGCTGCGAACTGCGCTAGGACTGAAGTGTCTAAGTTGAGGGGCTGCGGGTGTTCATAGACGTCCTTCCAGAAGGATTCCACCTGATCAGCGGTCGGCGGATTATCCACAACACGTAGAGGCTCTTGGAATAAGCGAGAAGGTTTTTTTTCCACCGTAGTGTGCGCTGGTCAGGCCCTTTCCCCCGAAGCCTCGATACATTCGGGAGGGCGCGCCAGCATTATCAACCAATGACCACTCCCCACACCGTAGGGTAAGTGATCATTGGGGCCGAGAATCATGTGCCCTGAGCAAGCGCACACTATTATTATCATTATTATCGTTATTATTATAGTATGGATGCTTGATTTCTGCGTTTTTCTAAAGATACGAAATCGAATCTGCGTAGTATATTCATATAATCAGATCATCGTTTGCTAAGGAAGGAATTTGACATCCCGTCTTCCGAGCAAGTCCGTCAGTTTAATCTCCCTCTTGAAGATGATCACTTGGTGATCGAAACACGTGTCGAGGTGTTGAAAATAACGGTTTGGTGTTTGGGATGAAACTCAGTAACATTCACTAAAGAGAATGATAGATGTCGTTCATTATTTACATGAATATGAAACGTAGGAAGCTTGTCGAAAAACGAATTGGGGAAATAGCTAAAATTACTTACAGGACGATCAACTTATGATTTCGTGATGTTTTGCACTGTTACGTAACACTGTTTTACAATTCATGAGAGCAACAATCTCGAAGGAAAAATCAAATACGCTTTGAAAAACACAACTTTAACATCTTTAGTGGACGAGTAATGGTTCTAGGGTTCTTTTCATCGATTGTGTGAAATACATTATACTTCCGCTATTGAGCGCTAGATGGCAATACTAATAAATCGGTCATCTTTATTCTCTAGATCAATACTTATACTGAGGATATTTTGTATACAGGGTGTTTATTAATCATGAGGCAAAAATTAAAGGGACTATTTCTTGGAATGTTCTAAGGATATTTTGTCCATTGATGATTTTTGATAGGGCGCTTTCTTTCGAAGATATGGAGCGAAAAAATTGCAATAAACGCACCTGAGGAAGGTGTTGCGGTAATGTGAACTGTTCCATAACATAGCTGCCTCAGACGCGTTTATGCTGCCAGTATAATCATGCCACCTAAACACGCCTGAAACGTGTTTGCAGTTCTGTCAACTGTTCCATAACATAGCTGCCTCGGACGCGTTTATACTGCCAGTTCAAACATGCCATATAAACAAGACTGAAAAAGCGATTGTACAGTGAAACACATTGACGTTTGAACTGTCACTATGAATAAACATGACTGGGAAAGCTATTGTATAACGAAACACGTGTTTGGGTTTCGTAAACTGTTCAATAGCATAGCTTCCCCAGTCGCGTTTATACTGTCGGTGTAAACACGCTATATAAATACGACTGAGGAAGCTATTCTATAGTGAAACACGTGTTAGGGTTTTGTAAACTATTCCATGGCATAGCTTCCTCAGACACGTCTATGATGTCAGTATAAACATGATATATAAACGCGCCTGAAAAAGCTATTGTACTGTACTGTGATAGCTTCCTTAGACGCGTTTGAACTGTCACTAGAAATGAACACGTCTGGGGAAGCTATTGTATGATGAAACACATGTTTGGGTTTCGTAAACTGTTCAATAGCATAGCTTCCTCTGTCGCTTTTATACTGTAGCTGTAAAAATGCTATATAAATAAGACTGAGCAAGCTAGTGTATAGCAAAACATGTAGGTATTAAGGTTTCGTGAAATGTTCAATAACATAGCTTCCTCAGTCGCTTTTATACTGTCAGTGTAAACACGCTATATAAACACGACTGCGGAAGCTATTCTATTGTGGAACACGTGTTGGAGTTTTGTAAACTCTTCCATAACATAGATTCCTCGGGCACGTTTATGCTGAAAGTATAAACATGCCATATAAACACGACTGAAGAAACTATCACTGTGCTGTGATAGCTTGCTTAGACACGTTTGAACTGTCACTATAAATGAAAACGACTGGGAAGCTATTGTATAATGTAACACGTGTTTGGGTTCCGCAAACTCTTCAATAACATAGCTTCCTCAGTCGCGTTCATACTGTAAGTGTAAACACGAGTAAGGAAGCTATCGTAAAGTGAAACACGTGTTGATGTTTTATAAACTTTTCCATAATATAGCTTCCTCAGACACGTTTATGCTTTAAGAATAAATATGTCATATAAACACGACTGAAAAAGCTATTGTATAGTGAAACATAATACAATGTGATAGCTTCCTTGAACGTGTTTGAACTGTCACTATAAACACGCTATATGAACACGACTGGAGAAGCTATTATACAGAGCTTCTGTGAACTGTTCAATATCATAGATTCCTCAGTCGCGTTTATACTGTCAGTGTTAAAGCGCTATATAAACACGACTAAGGAAGCTACTGCATAGTAATAATAATAAAAATAATAATAATAAACGGGCTTTATTCATTGTCATACATTGTTTACAAAGAAGAAGTAGATACAAAAATCAATGAATTTACAATATGTGGCTGGATAGTTTCAGGAATGTTTATGTATGATTTGTAGAAAAACAGTACATGAACTGTCACCAGTTGAATAAATTTCACCACAGCACCAGTATTATCAGTCGACGGATCTTAGACTTTGTTAAATCAATTCGTGTAAATCAGGGTTATTAACTTTGTGGACACGCAAAAGAGTACGTTGTCTGTTTGGCACCCGGATTAGCCAATGAGCTTACCCAACGTCTAATAATACTGAGTTGATTCAGATTATGTTTCTTATAAAAAAATAGTTGGAGCAATCTGAAACCGACCCTGAGTTTTCGTGATCGATCTGGGCGATCCTCTTGGTAACCTACTTAGAACTCCACTCCGAAATGGGTCAGTAGGAATATGGACAAAGGCTCGGTTTCATACATTGTTTCCTTGTTGCTAACGGCAGAGAAGCCATCACAGAAGAGCGATTTTATGCATTATTCATTACATTTGAACACGTGTCAGAAGAATCAGTTTTTTTAAACACTTGTATGTGTGTATTTTTCAAAAAATTGGTGAATAAATTGCTGAGCTTGTTTCAATTCAACTTGTTTTCAAAAATGTCTCCACGATAAAATTATTTCATTTTCACCTTCTCCATTTGACGCGTGAACGCTCAAGCCTGATTTATGGAAA